AGTCTCCAGTTTAGAGATAAGAAAAGAAACTAAATTTATAATCTATTCAACTAGCAAGACACTTATTATTATGATTGTGGAGGAAGGTGATAGGAGATAGACCTATACAATATGGTTTATGAAGTTGTTTTGACTAGAATTTCATTTATAAGACTTGGTTATCACAGTTAATAGATTCCACAAAACATCTTGGAATTATATCATAACTTAAAAGATTTATCTATTAATTTATCTTTCTTTCTAACACCAAAATTGAAAAAGTCTAATCTATGTCCTTAGTAGATGAAAAGTGTGAATGGGTAAAATACAAATAATTCACAATATCATTCATGAGTTAACCGTCAGTATTTCTCCAGTGGAAAGTCAGCACTGCAATATGGACATTAATAACACTACCAACCAACTATATCAGCTTTCCGCAGTCTGGTGCCCTCCAGATATGTGGGACTTTATGTCTTCTATTCCTTTAGTTAAATGGTTTTGATAGTACAGGATTATGGATTTGAAGTCCCACATATTTGGAGGAACAAAGCTGGGACAGGTAAAGTATGTGTTTCTATAATTATTTATAGATACTGTAGTTATACTTGATTTGAACATCAAGAGAGAGGCTCAAAGATATGAATCTATAGTTTTTTTGTGTTACAAGTTGAATTGACTTGAGCAGTAAACTCTGCTAGTAAAAAATACACATTTACTGATAGTGAAGGAGAATGATTTTCAATTCATTCAATGGAGGAATTTTACCATCTGAGTTATATTTATTTTTTTACATCACAATGACTAAAATGTAGGTAATAAAAATGTTGTGGACTTATTTATAAGGCTGAAATAAACATTATAAACACTCACAGTGAAAAAGGTGTAGTGTCTAAATAAAATTGTTTTATTAAAAATTGGATATATTGGATAACAGAATAACAGAGGTGGAAGGTACCTTGGTGATCTTCTAATCCAGCCCCCTGCTCAAGCAGGAGACCGTATACCATTCCAGACAAGTGGCTGTCTAGTCCCTTCATAAAAGTCTCAGTGATGCAGCACCCACAGCTTCTGAAGGCAAGCCATTCCACTGGTTAATTGTTCTGTTAGGAAATTTCTCCTCAGTTCTAGGTTGCTTCTCTCCTTGATTAGTTTCCATCCATTGTTTCTTGTCTTCCCTTCTGTTGCTTTGGAAAATAGGTACTACTACTACTACTACTACTACTACTACTACTAATAATAATAATAATAATAATAATAATAATAATGTTGGAAGGGACCTTGAAGGTCATCTAGTCCAACCCTCTGCTCAGGCAGGAAACCCTATACCATTTCAGACAAATGGCTGTCCAGTCTCTTCTTAAAAACGTCCAGTGTTGGAGCATTCACAGCTTCTGGAGGCAGGTTGTTCCACTGGTTAATTGTTCTAACTGTCAGAAAATTTCTCCTTGGTTTTAGGTTGCTTCTCTCTTTGGTTAGTTTCCATCCATTGCTTCTTGTCCTGCCTTCAGGTGCTTTGGAGAATAGCTTGATTCCCTCTTCTTTGTGGAAGCCCTTGAGATATTGGAACACTGCTATCATGTCACTCCTATCATGTTGATCCCCTCTTCTTTCTGGCAGCCTCTTAAATATTAGAACACCGCTATCATGTTGCCCCCAGTCCTTCTTTTCACTAGACTATATATATCCAATTTTTGCAATAGTTTTTCATATGTTTTAGCCTCCAACCCTCTAATCATCTTTGTTGCTCTTTTCTGTACTCTTTCCAGAGTCTCAACATCTTTTTTATAATACGACGACCAAAACTGGATGCAGTATTCAAAGTGTGGTCTTACTAAGGCTTTGTAAAGTGGTACTAGTACTTCATATGATCCATCTGCATTTTGAGCCTATTTTCTGGGATATTGGCTATTCCTCCTAGTTTAGTGTTGACTGCAAATTGGATGAATTCCCCTTCTATTCCTTCATCTAAATCATTTAAGAAGATATTAAGGGTACTGGGCCTAAAATGGAACCTTGGGGTAGGCCACTACTTATTTCCCTCCATGTAAATGTGGTTCCATTAAAAAAAGGGAACCTCCAGAATGAATGTCAAAAAAACTGACAAAAGCAGTTTTGTAACAACTTATGAGAAGTTGTTTACAACAAAAGAATTAAAAGAAACACTTGTTTTTTGTATATGTGAAACCACATATTTTTTCTCTTCTAAATGCTACTTCTCTTATTAAACTAACTGGTGTCCTCAATTATTCCCTTATTTTGCTTTTGCTTGCCTCTTGCAAGATAATTTTTCAATTTACCAAATATTACAAACAAGTTCAGCCTAACTGAATTGCAGACTTGAGAATACTCTTCTGGAAAGAATTCTCAGGCAGTTTGGCTATGGCTGAGACTTTGGGTGTTGACATCCACAAATCTGGTGAAGAAAAGTAGCAAAATGAGCAATAGTAGCACTAAAACTGAGAATTTATTGAATTTGAATGTGACAAAAGCTAAGAATTTTGATCTGAAGGGAAATATTTTGTCCCATAAATTGAGCTCAGATTTTTTTAGGCAAGAGCTATAAGATCAGCTTTCAAAAGACAAAATTAAATTCAAAGATTATGATGACATGGGTCTTTGTGGGGGAGGAGCAGGGCAGATGATAACACATATAATTATATATAATCACAATGTGTTAGTTTTGTAACAGTGTGAGTGGAACTAAGCTGCTGGGTGCTGGCTATGAGTTCCTCCATGATTGCCTATTTGTGGGATAGGCAGGGCAGGGGTGGGGTGTGTGTGTTCCTGTGTGGCACAGAATGGGACAAATTGTTCTCCTGGAAATGAATCCAAGTTCTCCTCTTAAGACAGGCTTGTGTGGTACCATTGTGTGCGTCTCCTCCCACCTGTTTTAACACAAGCTTGCATTATTTCAGTCCCATTGCAAAACAATTTGTACTTACAGTGGTTTCTCCTCCCCCCTTCCATTGGTATTATTTTGTTTTGTTTTTTAACTGTTGTAATTCTGTCCCCAGACAGTTGGCTTTTTAAATAATATTGCAATAGTATTTCAAATGCTAGTTCAAAATAGCATTATTTTGGCCAAACAGCCAGGATCTTCATTGTGGTTTAGAACTCAGAGTAAATGATAACATAGATTTTATTTTAATATATTTTTTCCAGTTTCTCAGAGATTAGGGGCCAAAGTCTCCTTCCTTCCTTCCTTCCGTTTTCCCTTCCCTTCTTCAGAACTGTCAGCCTTTTAAACTTCTCATTTTAAAGTATGCTTTAAAAGTATTGCCTTCTAATAATTTCAGATACATGCTGCCTCTTTCCCCTTTCTTTTCCTTTCTTAAGCACTTTGTTCAGTTTAGAGGTTATTATTATTGATCCAGTATCATCTCAGAAGCTCAAAGCAGGTAGTCTTTGACTAACAACAGTTCATTTAATGACTGAAACTACAATGGCACTGAAAAAAGTAACTTATGACAATTTTTCACATTTGTGACTATTGTAGCATCTCCATGCTCCGGTGAAAAATTCAGACATTTGACAACTGACTTATATTTATGACGGATGCAATGTCCGGGGGTCATGTGATCACCTTTTGTGACCTTCTGACAAGCAAAGTCAATGGGGAAGCCAGATTCACTTAACAACCATGTTACTAACTTAATAACTACAGCAATTCATTTAACAACTGTGGCAAGAAAGGTCATAAAATGAGGGGCAAAATTGACTTAACAACTGTGTCCCTTAGCAACAGAAATTTGGGGCTCAGTTGTCAAGGATTATCTGCACATCTGAAAGAATTTATTTCCTTGAATAAAGTCAATCTTTCCTAGTAATCTTTAGTTAAAATCCCCTTCGAACAACTATTGCTCCCCCATTTCCCTGTATCTTTTTCTGGACATATCTAATTTTATCAGTCTTGGCAACTGCCCATTCCTATGTCCACCTTTTAACTTTTCAACAACAATAATTTTAATGACCTTAGCAATCTTCATTGAGTGACTCCTCCCAAAATACTTCATTAAGGCTGAAAAGATGTATAAGATCGCAGACACCACCTGTCTGTTTAGGGAGCATTTGAAGTTACACCAGCATTGAAAAAAATGACTTAGGACCTTTGCAGCCTCTCCATGGTCGTGCGATCAAAATTTGTATGCCTGGCAACTGGCTCCTATTTATGATAATTGCAGTAGCCTGGGGTTATGTAATAATCCTTTACAACCCACTGCCAAGCAAAGTCAATGGGGAAGCAAAATTCACTTAACAGCTGTGCTATTAACAACTGCTGTGATTCACTTAACAACTATGGCCAGAAAGGTCGTAAAATGGGGCAAAACTCACTCAAGAAATGTATGTATGTATGTACATATACACAGTTGCCATGTGTCAGAATTTTGATTATGTGACCACAGGCATGCTGCAATGATCGCAAGTGTGAAAAACTATAATAAGTCACTTATTTCAATGTTGTAATTTTGAACGGTCACTAAATGAACTGTTGTAAGTCGAGAATTACCTGTATTTCATATGAAATATATACAGAATTGGGCAAGCCCCAGCCTTACAGGACAAACCATCTTCCCCAGCACAGCATAGCACAAGATGGCTAGAGAAATTGAACTACAGACCCTATCACCTTCTACTAGCCAATGGACAGTTAGTTATATTGACAGTGAAAACTGTAGTCCAGCATAATTGAAGGGCACCAGATTGGGAAAGGTAGGTCTAGACTGAGTTTTGCTACAGCTAACTGAAAGGGCTGCTACTTTTGGAATGCACTGAGCTCTTCTCTGACATAATAGTGCTATTTACAACCATCACTAGGCCATTTGTGCTCATCTGAATAACCAGCAGGAGGAGGAGCAATAACAAAAAAATCCCCCCTTCAGTTGAGATTGAAAACAGTGGCCTATTATGAAGGAGAAAGATGGTATCTCTCTCTCTGGAATGTTCCAATAAAACCACACAATTATTCTTTCTCTCTCTCTCTCTCTCTCCCTCTCTCTCTCTCTCCTTTTTGATTTCAGAACAAAGGCTTCGCCCGGAAGAGCCACGTATTCCTGCCAAAGATTTTTAAGAAAATGTCCTCCCAGCCCAAAGAGCGCCCTGAGAATTTGCAGTTCCCCTTTCTGGATGATGATGAAACGATTACCACCATTCAGGAATCAAAAACCTTTTTTGTTCTCCGAGGTCTACCGGGCAGTGGAAAATCTACCTTGGCGCAGGCCATCCAAGACAAGTATAAGGATGCTTGCAAAGTCATTTCGGTTGACCGCTACAAAATCCAGCCTGCTATCCGGAGTGCCATTCCTGATGAATACAGCAAGGTTGATGAGGATCTAGCTGACTATTGCAAGCGTGACATCAGTGTGATGGTGGTAGATGACACCCACCATGAACGGGAGCGATTAGAGCAGCTTTTTGACATGGCAGACAAATATCGCTACAAAGTCATCATTGTGGAACCCAAAACTTCATGGAAAATGGATTGCTTGCAGCTGAAGGATAAGAATCAATGGAAACTTTCAGCTGATGAGCTAAAGAAATTGAAGCCCAGTTTAGAAAAGGACTTCCTTCCCTTGTATTATGGATGGTTTTTAAGTAAAAGGAGCTCAGAGCATTTGCGGAAGACAGGGCAGGCATTTTTGGATGAGCTTGCTAATATTAAGGCCTTCAAAAAAGAGTCAAATAAATACTGTGGGTGCTCTCCCCCCCCCAAGCTTTTTTATTTATAGAAAATTGGTTGTCTACTAGCTTATATGTATAGTCTTTTTAATGCTTTTCAGGCTTTGCTAATATGCTTACTCTAGCATAATTTGCTGAAGCATTCTTAAATCTCATCTTAGAAGCAAAAAGAAAAACCATTCCATGCTATTTTTTTTGTTTGTATGATGAATCTGGAAAACCTGGGGATATTGTTTTGATTTCCTTTTGTATTCCACACTGCTTTCTCAAAATTGTCACTAGATAATTAATGAACCTCCAAGGAGAAAGCAAGATCTATTACACAAACCATATTTTGGTAAAGAGCAAAAGCACATCTTCCCAACATCCTGTTTGCTTTAAAATAAATTGAAGTTTTTTATGAGGCACCAAATAATATTGAGAGTTCCTGCCTACTATCCTAATTTCTGGATGCACTCTCCAACTGTCATTCTATTCCCCTGCTTGCCTGCCATCTGTTTCTATGCCCTGAACTCATAATGTATTTCCATTTCTACATATGCTTCTGCATTCTAGTGTCCCTAAGATTCACTAAACCCAAACTGTTCTCATGCTCTAGAATTTTGTCTTCCAGATATTGTCCAAAAATTCTTTGAATTCCATAAAATCATTGTGGCAACCTTGTCTACTCCACTTTCAAGAATTTTTGTTATAGTCCTTGTTGCTTGCTGTCTTGGATCTAACACTGCATAGATAATAGATCCTCATAAACCTGTAGATAAAGAGATTCTGCTAAATAACATGCATGTCAGTTCTGTTTTAAGGATTTGGTCTACAGAGTGAATTAGTCTTCCCTGACCATATTGTGCTGGAATTGTAGACTTCTTCAGCCGGTTGCTTTCTAGATGACTTGGACTAGAGTTTCATTCTCCTCAACCTGTGTTGGCTTAATATTTATTAATTAATCACATTTTTAAATTGCCCATCTCTCTCAAACAAAGATTCTGAGCAGTATACAATAAAATATCTAAAAATGTAAGTTAGTTTAAAGGCCTAGGGAGGGTTCCCAGAGCCACATTTTCACACCTTTACAGAAAGCCAGGAGTGTGAGGGTCCACTTCACCTGTCGGGGTGGAGGGGAGAGTTTTCTTTTATTATAATACGACATATGTAGAGGCAGCTGAATTAGGAAAATCTAACATGAAATCTCTTATCTTCCTTCTGTTCCAAGCTATAAATGCAAGCAACATATTCCCATCAATCCTTCCAACCATCAGTAAGCTGTTCCGAATTGATATAAATGATACGTCAACATATTTAAAGAGCACTAGCTTAGAGAAGGCTGCAATTGACCAAATGTCACTACCTTCATTATGCCTACTGTATTCATTCTCCAATATTTCACAGTTGTTTGTCTGATTAATATAGAAAAGCCAAACACTTTATTTTTTAAACAGATTTAAGAGAGACTTCCAAATTAGAATAGATTAATTTTCTGATCTACTGCACAGAAGCTGTGTGCCATTTAACACATATACTTGTGTGCAGTCTCTTCAACATTTTATTGATGTGGCTGATATGTACAGTATGTATATAATGTCTGTAGGTGTATAGTATATATACTGTATACACGTCCGCAATTGGTCCTTTTGATTGACGTTTGACAATATAGGCAAAATCAAACTGGAGGATTAGGCTGGTTCGGATATACTTTTAAAACTTTTTTGTTTTCATGAAAGATGAGCTTTATGAATGCTAAATCCTGCCTTTCCTGTGAATGTGTCTGCATAAGCAATAACAATTCTACCCTAAGGCTCTCATTTTCCATCATTATTCATCCTTGGAATTTGACTTGAAAATGTTATATTTTTGCCTCTAAACTAACAAAACTAAACATATCAAATGTAATCTACTCCCAATATATAACCATATTCCTATACCAAGGTTGGCCACGATTTGCAGTTAGAAAGCTTATATCCTTAGCTAAGTAATTTCAAAAGTTATTTCTAAATTCTTTCTGTATGGCTGATGTCAGTTATATGTCTACTTATTTTGTTTCTAATCAATCACAATCATTTTCTGCAATATTAGTTTAAAAGGCCATAGGTGTTGGGGAGATAGCAAATAAATCAAATTCAACAGGTTCTAGCCTGTTTTTTAATATATATTTTTTCAAATAATATGCTGGCTGGGGACTTCTGGGAGTTGTCCACACATCTTAAAATTGCGAAGTTTGATTAACGGTGGTCTGACTTAATGACCACAGTTAAATACTAAAAAGGAATTGTGAATTTTTCCCCCCTCCTTGTAGTAGTGAGTGTCACCAAAGATGGGAACTGAGAGTCCTCTAAATAGCAGCTCCTTCCTATTAGTGGAAGGCAAATAGAGGTGGATAAATTTGCCATACCATATTTACTGCTTTTCTTTATTTCATTTCCAGAACAGTCATAAACCAGCACTAGTGTGGGGAATGCTATATGGGGAGATGGGAAGAGCATAGCAGGAAAATAGAGGATGCAGACATTGTTATGCCACTTTGGGCATGAAATGCTCAGCAGTGTTGAATGAAATTACAAGTTGTCTTGTTTATATGGAAACTCTCTAGGCTGTTTTCGTAAGAATTCTCAACTCAAAATGGGTCTATGAAATATTTCTTATCTTGTATTATGATCTGTCTTGCCAAACTAATATTGCAAAAACACAAAAACAGTGTGGAGTGAAAAGTGCATTCAAAGAAAACCATGAATCTGAAACGCTGAGGCTTGCTCTATTTCTTGTTTTACAGTTGGGCAACCCCCTGAAGAACCCAAACTGAAAATTGATCTGACCAGCTACTTTGTGAAAAGGCCTCCAGGGGTTTTGCATTCCACAACTAAATTCACTGACTTTGGGAAGGCTCCAGGAGCAGACGATTATGCACAGCAAGATGTGAGAATTCTTCTTTTTATTTTGATGGAAGCATGTAATTTTTCAAGCTGACTTTAGGTCGGAAAAATCCAACTTCCTCACCCTCCCTCAACTATTTTAAAAGAGAGAAATAGCATATTTACAAAGGAATCTGAATGCCCTCCAACACTGGAAGTTTTTAAGAAGAGACTGGACAACCATTTGTTTGAAATGGTATAGGGTTTCCTGCCTGAGCAGGGGGTTGGACTAGATGACCTCCAAGGTCCCTTCCAACTTTATTATTATTATTATTATTATTATTATTATTATTATTATTATTATTAAAATCAATATTGTTCACAACATTCATCACCATTTCATGCACTATGTAAGATATCTTCTCTTAAAAGTAATATTTACTATAAACTTGAAAAAAATGTAATTCACCTTACTTCCTAAAATTTATTGCCAGAAAGAAGGAATAATTATATATGGAACTACAGAATCTCTCCTGTAAAATTTACTTATATTTAAATTACTCATTATACAAACATCCATTTTTATAACAGCTCAATTTTAGATTTTATTAATTGTAATCTTCCTTGAGCATATTTACATAAAGCACATATAAGTGACTTTTCTTGGAGCAAATTTAGCTAGTGGAAAACTATGTCTAAATATGTGTGGTGAGAAAATGAGAGGGAGACATACTTCTTTAAAAATCCTTGAACATGTATTAACTCAAAAAGTATTTCAGATTTATTCATATGCCTCAAAGAATAAGTTGGGCTACTTTTCACCTAATTCCCTAGTTCCTCAGCTGTGATCCTTTCTAACCTAGAATAGGTTAGAATACCTGCCAGCTGATCCAGTTTGGATATCCAGATTGGGACAGAAATCCACCTTGGGAAGATTATAGATTTCACTGAATCCACCATCAAAGGAAAACATGCTCCTGAAGGTTTTTGTGGAAGCAATTCCTAGTGCAGCTTTGCTTTATGCCTGAAAGAGCAGAGACATGCCAACTGCTTGTGTTTATTTTGCTCACAAATAATGGAGTCCTGGGTAGGGTTGGGTCAAGGGAGCTGGCAGAACTCAGTATATCCTCATGCCACAACATGCTAAAAGGCTTAGGGGTTTGGGTGGCACACCTGATTGAGATGACCAAAGTCCAGGTTCTACATTTTCCAACCTGTTTATTGCTCCAGAAAAAAGTCATTTCCCCATACCAATCTGATGTTTATTTTCATTATATTATTGTTGCACTAGAAGTCCAAGCAATAATATTATGAAATCCTGTTCAGATTCTTGTATTTTACAGAGGTCAAAGGATTTAACTTGAATAAGGAAGCATAATCTGAACATTTCCTTATTGCAAATTTAATTACCAGCATTCTGACTAAAGCAGCTAGAAGGAAGGCATTATGTTGCTTGCCATAAAGTTTCCATGCCCAATTGAAGGTGCTAGTGAACACTTAAGTAATGTTAGCCAAAATGTGACTAATTGATTTTCGTCTTGGCCAATTGTGTGAACCCATTAAATATGGTTTACTTAAAAAAAAACCCCATTGTTCAGCCACATACAGTATTATAGTGTTCTTGCATAGCCAATTAAAGGACCAACTCTCCCCATATTAAAGAGAAATGGCCTTTTCATAAAGACCCCAGAGGGGAGAACCCCAGTGATGAGTATCCCAAGTGTGGAATACACTATGCACAGGTGTACATTTGGGAGAATAACTTATTTGCTACAAATCAAATATTTGTTATTTGCCTAGGCCATGGGTAGGCAACCTTGGCTCTTTTATGACTCTTGGACTTCAACTCCCAGAATTTCTGAGCCAGCATGGCTGGCTCAGGAATTCTGGAAGTTGAAGTCCACGAGTCATAAAAGAGTCAAGGCTGCCTACCCCTGGCCTAGGTATTTTAATTTAGTCGATCTGTTGTCATTTGTACTGTGTCACTTCTTTTGATCATCTGTGTTTATTTTTACCTCATATGATTTACAAGTCATGCATTTTATGCTCTTGCCTCTCTTCTCATACCTAACGACTATTTAAACATAGATAATAGTATGGAATGATTAGATAAGTTTAACACGTTAAACATGTTAATGTTTCTGAATTTCAGAATTCTAATTTTTTCACGAATGAAGGCAAATATACGTGTTCCAGGATAATGTAGCAGGACTGAATCTGGGTCTGTCACCAGCACCAGAGGTTTAGTTTTCTGAACTTTTGGACTTGTGCTGGACCCACCATCCTCTCAGGGGACTTCTCTCTACCAGAATGTGTCACGTGTCTAGAGGAATAATGTGTCTACACATTCTAATAAGAGAGAAGTTCCCCGAGGATGGGTTCCAGCACGAGTCTGAAAGCTAGACTAAACCTCTGGTCCTGGTGATCCATCCAGATTGGATCTATTTTTTTTTTAACACTTAAATCTTATAACCCCAATCCAGCCTTTTCCAGTATAGAACACGGATGATACATTTGAACTATAGCCCTGGCTAGGCTGGTGGGAATCCAGAGTAATTCTGGTTTGAAGGTGTATTAGGTATGGGGGATGGCCAGGTTAATCTGAATTAAATACACAGCTTGTCTTTAGAGGAGTATTTTTTTTTCTTTCAGATTGTGAAGACCTCTTATGGAAAATCTTTTTTCCTAACCATATCTGCTCTATTCATCACCCCAAGAACTGCTGGTGCCCGTGTGGAAATGAGCGAACAGCAAATGCTTCTGTGGCCCGGGGATGTGGATGTGCTACAGCCAGCAGTCAGCCTCCCAAAAGGCAGCCGAGCCCATATCACTCTGGGCTGTGCCAGTGGGGTAGAAGCTGTCCAAACTGGCCTTGACCTTCTTGAATTTGCAAAACTGGAAAAGGCAGGGAACAAAGGCGAGGAGATTGGGGAGATTGGTGGTGGGAAACTTTTCTCCTTTGGGAATGGCATGTGGATGCTTTTGCTTTCAAAAAAGATTGAGGTGAGGGCCATTTTTGGTGGATACTATGGAAAGGGAAAACTGGTGCCAACTCAAGGAGGCAGTAAACGAGGATCACCCTTTAATTCCTGTATCATCATCTAAGGGCTCTTGTGGCATCTGCATCCTTGTTTTTGCATGATATAACGTGTAACATTTTGTAAACTCCTCTCCATTACAACACAAATGGTAGTATCCTACGACTAAAGCAATTTCTTAATTTTAGTGATGTCCTTTTTTAAGGAATATTTCTTGACCTTCAGAGGCCTGGATTCCTCAAATGGAAAACAGCACTTTTTTATACCTTTCAAATTAATACAACTGAATCTATTCCAGCCTTTTGAAGTTTACTTTTCTTAGTATAGAGAAATAGCCTTTCCAAGTTTGCCAGAACTGGGTCTGTTTCTGTGCTGTAATCTACCTGGTTCCCTTACAGCTACATTACAGTTACAGCAGGAGGGGGATTGTGCCACTTCAGAGCCCAGGGAAAGCATGAGGGGCAAATAGAACCACCTTTCCTCAGTGATTCCTGACATAAAAACTCCCTGAGAATAGAAACCTAACACTGTAGGTAACCCTAAAGACAGAACTTTATACTGTTCTATTTTCAGCAAAGGTATTGGGGGGAGGGGAGGGAAAATATTTAAAAGTTCACGATCCACCTTTTGCATCCTCACATCATCTTTTCATTTGAATTCAAATTCAGGATAGACTTAGAAAGCTTGGATCAGTTATACCTCTGCTCATAGTCTGAAAACACCATGACAAAGTTAAGTGAATATGTATTGCAAAATCTTAGGCTTAAAATGTTCAGATTCACTTCTCAGGTTAGCCACAGAGTAACTAGTTGGTTTCAAGAAACCTCTTCACAGTTGAGATTCAGAATCAAGGGTGGCCATCCCTGATCAATTTCAGCTTGAGGAAACAGATGTTACCTTTCTGATTTGTAATTGAATATTCAAAGGATTCACTTCTAAAATGAAGTATAAAGCCTCACTATTTTGATTGAGCATAGTAAGATCTTGCTAGCACTCCTAAGCAAGTACCAAGTGCCTTTTCCCAGATTTTTTTTAAATGGGAAGTGTGAAGCCTCCCCTGCTTTGTAATTTTATGAGCTTTTGAAACATAAGTCAAGCATTAATAGAGGCCTATACTTTAATGGAGAAATCTTGTTAACGTGCAACTCAAGATTCCTAGCTTTTCATCTTAGTCTTGTGCCAGTCTGTAACGTTGCTATTGTATGGGTTATGTCAGTGGTGGCGAACCTATGGCACGCGTGCCAGAGGCGGCACTCAGAGCCCTCTCTGTGGGCATGCGTGCCATGCCCCGGAGATGGCAATCATCCCTCTTCAACCAGCTGCCTGCTAACTCACCGAGGTCCCACGTGGTCGGATGCATCCCAGCATGGCTGGTTTCCCTCCCCACTGCCCCACCCCTCCTGGCCTCGCATGCTCTCCTTTTCCCGGGCACGATCCACTGCATAACCTCCTCAGCTGTCGGCCGGCCTTCAGCTCAGAGGCGGCTTCTCTGAACTGCTGGTGGCGGGCTGCAGAGCCCCTGAGTGTGCCGGTTGAGGGGCCAGCCGGCTATGGTTGCTGACGGACACTGTTGGCCCCATGCGCTCACTGGCCTGTGTGTGCAGGGGCCGATAGTGTCAGGCAGCAGCCGCCCTGGCCCCTGCCTTGCCTTGCCCTGCGACAATGGCACCCCCACCCTGCCTCGCCTCACCCTGCAAAATGAGCCTCCTGCCCACCGCCCCACCTGCCAGAGACCCCCTGGATCTCCCCCAACCCTGCCCAGCCCCCACAGGCATCCCTCCCCATAAGCAACATCAAGGTGACCATGCCGACCTTGGCCACACCCACCCAGTCTGCCATGCCCACCACAGACATGCCCACCCAGTGGGCCATGCCCACCTGGCACCCAGCGATAAATTAAGTGGGTTTTGGGTTGCAGTTTGGGCACTCGGTCTCTAAAAGGTTCGCCATCACTGGGTTATGTCATTGAAAGCTGGCACATTAAATACTGTTGCCTGCAGCCCCTCCAGCATTTCCTCTTGTACAGAATTTTAAGGGATTTATATTTTGCTTATCTATCATCTTAATTCTGAAGCATGGGCATCTACTAACAGAAGTGTAAAACTAGAGAATAGGAATCTGCCTTGCAGTCTTAGTTTGTTGTCCATCCTGTCTTGTATTGTTTTAAATGACAGACAGTAGATTTTTACTAGAGATCTTTATTGTCTGATTAAGATACCAATAAATTACATTTCAACCATTGCCCATGAAAATCAGAGACTAAGACAGTTTTTTTCAACAAGAATATTTGAACTGGTGTATTATCCAATAGCAAAATTAGTTGTTTTGACTGGATCCTAACTTGCTGCAATTGATCTAAATTATAAGAGTTGTCCAAAGTATTGTATCTGGGTATAGAGGGAATACAAATAAGGATGTATCTATGATTTTAATTGCATTGGATAGGCAATCCACCAGAGCTTCAAATTTTATGAAAACAGGGACAGTACGCTAAAATATGTATCAATGAACAAGTATTTTAGACAATAGATGGTGTGTTCAATGCTTTGATATATGGCTTGGTTTTCTGAAGAATATAATATATTCATGGTGCAATCAAAATGCATATAAACTTAGAAGTAAATCTTCAACGTTCAAAGAAGTATATTCTAAGATAATATACAAATTCCCCAACATGTTATTTATATATACTGATTTTAACTTCTATCAACTTTAGCCAGTGTAGCTGTTACCCGTTGTCAATGACTGTTGTGAAAGTTGAAGTTCAATGCACCTAGTACTTGAAACTACTCACCATTTCAAAGCATACTTCAAAGAAGAAATTAATATTTTAAAACTTAAAATTTATATGTTTTTTTGATTTTATAACATATTTATATGCAGTATGGCATGAGTTAAACCTGTAAAAATAAGGGCAAGCCAAACATATTCTAATCTCAGCTGAATCATATTCTATTGATGGTATATATTTTGTGTATACAACTGATTTAAGGTCCCCCAAGTAAGTCTAGTTGAACACATAGTCTGCTTACTTTCCTTTGAGCAGGAACTGTATAAACAGTATGTCAGCAACCCAAGTGTTTATCTAGAGTAGTGCTGTCTTTCACATTATTGCAAAGCTGGGCAATACACATCTGAACTAATCCCCACTTTTGAGTTGATTTATTCATAACATTGTTAGTCATCCCTTTACCTCTAACGCATAGGATTTAGTCTCAATGAACATGATCCTTATTTTGAGAAAAAATTCTCCAAGGCCAGCTTTTGCAAAACTGATGCCCTTCAATTAGTTAGAACAACAGTATTCATTCATAATCAATATTATCTTTGCTGTGAATGATTTTAAGCCAGGTTAATTCAGAACTATAGGAAATCAAATATAGGACAAGAACATTGGACTAGAACAGATTTTTTTTTACCATCAATGTGAATAGTGACAATAGTTGTCCTATGTAATTCGTGATTATGCTTTTGATATACTCACATTCATTATGCTCTTAATGGGAGCTAGTGTAAAATGGGAGTTAGTTAACTATTATACAATGAAAGCTACAAAACAAATTGCAAAACATGCATCACTTGAAACTTAGAATTATAGACATCCAATATATAAAGGAAGATAGGTGGATGGTTGGGTCATTTACTTTTCTTGAATGCTTAGCTATACAAGAAAAAGCTGGTTGTGCTATTGCTCAGGAAACATAATGTAACTTGCATTTGCAAAATATTTGTGTCAGTTCTTAAATATATGTTTAAACATCAAATTACTGTTAATACAACTCAAATATGGTCAAAGCTTTTTTAAAAACCCCTAAGTAGCACATTTCAATGGTTTTGATGTAACTTGAAACAATAATTCTTGTTCAACTTTACAGAATAGTTAAGATTCACAGTGACTGTAAAATACACTGAAATAAATGTATTAACATGCAGAAAATGTTTGTGTTGATATTTACATTAGGCGGAACTCTTTACTCAAGCCTTTGCTAGCCTGAAGTTCCACATTATATGCAGAGAAGAGATTGGGCTTTTTATAGGTCTATAGATGAAGGACTGAAATTGGGCACAAATGTTAACTAGTTTACCACCAGTTATTTCTTCTTATGAAAGATGCTCATGGATGCTGCTTTGGAAGGACTTCTGGACACCTCCATGAGTCTCCGGGTGCCCCCAAAGCAAAGCAGCCATGCATAGAAAGAGAACCAGAGCGCTTCTAAAGCAGCTATATGAGGCAAGAAAAAGGCATGGCTCCTTTAAAGATTCCAATAGAGATAATTCAAATACACACCTGTGTGTTGTGAAGCACTTTTTTTAAAAAAAAATTGAACAGTCATAGTACATAATCAAAACCCCTGGGTCTCAGTTTTAACATCGGTGGTCTTCCTGCCTACTTCTTTTTCCATCAAAAAAATAAACTAGTTGCATAACTCATATAATTTAACGCTGACCATCAGATTTGTGGAATTTCCCCCCCCTCCTCCCAATTATTCAACCCAGCATCATGTCACCACACTCAGTCTCAGCAGTGTCTACTCAGTTTAAAGAAGCATAAGACCAGTGAGATCTGGAGTGTTTATTTTTTGTACATCATATACATTTTATAATAAAATTAATATTAATTGCATATGGGTTTGCCAGTCTGGTTCAAAATGCTGCATATAAACATATTATAATCCTGCTTAATGAACAGTCACTACTTTTTGTTTAAATAATCTTCCTCAGATAAGTGAAAAGGTTGAAGTGGGGCAATATGGCTATCCATGTGTTTGAAACTATCTACAGGAGAAAGTAAAGGGGACAGGATGATGTTTTAAGAACAGATCATGCAACAAATGGATTATTAAGAAGTCTAGAATGATATGCTCTCTATTCCTAGCCAAATAGCCTTTCTTCAGGTGGCTTGAACATTAGTTTACCTGCCTTCTGCTCAGGCATTCCTTGTAAATGTATCTGTACAGCAAAGACAGCACAATGCATGCAAGAACACCTGTTCAAGTGTAGGCAAAAATTGCAAGTTTTCCTAAAATATACTGCTTTTAGATCTACATCACCAAAGAAATTGTCTCATGCATTACTACATGAGAAAGTCTTGGCTCTTAATTCCCTGCTTAAGAGATTTTGTCTACACATATGGTGGGAAAAAGTGATACTTTTAAATAGTTAAGTGATATTACTTAACATTACCAGCAATGTATGCCTTCCTCCTGTGGCAAGCTAACTAGCAGTAAAAAGAATGTTTGAGCCCATCTCTATACCCATTCTTGATTCTCAGGGAGTTTCCATAAGGGTCCATATCAAAAAGGTAATGTATCATTTCACCTTATTATGATCACTGCAACATTCTGACAATGCATATCTTTACAGACAGATAGCGATTTAACCCTTTGCTTATCAGTCACACATAATTTTTGGTACCTCTTAAAGATAGCTTGGCTAATTAAAAAAACGACAAAATTTGAGAGCTAAGAATCAAATTCAAATTATAAAATGATTATTACTAGGGTGGAGAATTTCTAAAGGAGGTTGTACATGGCCTAATATATAATGCAAAAATTGTTGTAACATCCTTAATGACTGCAATGAGAAGAATTGTAGATAATCAAAAACAAGGCAGAAAGGCAAAGTAATACAACATTCATCACTCTTTAGGTTGCAGTCAGTTTTAAGGTCCAGGAATCTTTTATCACTGACTTCTGGGTATGACAAAAAAATATCTAAAATACTTGTGTTGTGGAGAAAGTAACCTTGTAAGTTATCTTTAATACTACTCCCAGTTGTGTAGAGATGATCAGAAAACCAGGTTGCCATCCACTGAAACTCTTAATATTCTTATAATCCTCTGTGAAGTTTTAAAATAAAATTATTGCAAAGAGTTAGAAAATTCACAGAATCCAGGATTGATTCTCGATACCTCAGTCTCTGAAGATAACATGCTGTTATTTTAACTTTTCCAACATAAAATAATGAAGAGGGAGATGATTGATTTCATAGCTTTTTGTGCAGTTTCTGAACAATCCCGTTTGTCATTACCTTTAATAGAGAATGGACACAACATAATTCCACCAAATAACTCCTTTAAATATATAACTTCAACCGAAACCAATAATTCTGCCAGTAGAAATTGACTGCGCAATGAAATCCTGAACGATTCAGTATTTACCATTTGCTGGCCAGGAATTGGCATGCAATCTTGGCTGAGGTCAAGCTCCTGACTTTATTCTCTTCCCTCTTTAGTTTCTCACTTAATTCCTGGCCGTCTCTCAGTTTCTTTATCCACTTTTTGAGTATCTCAATTTGGAACTATTAAAGGAAATGATGCAGACAAAGTCTAATTTACTGTTATTCCTAAAGTTTGTCAGAACTCATTAGCTTGAAAAATAAAGGATTATTCCCAGGACATAATCTGGCCCCTCTTAAAACAATGTTTCATATTGAACCAATATCTGACATTTCACTGAGCAGAAATCCAGGCACTGCATAAGAATAGCTTAAAAATCTTGTAAATGATTATATTTTAGAGGTTCTTTATCAACTTTTCCCCTGGTCTCATAAATAGAAAGTTGCTATAACCTGTTTGTAATGCAAACATGCAAACACCACTCCTTTCTTGTGTTGAGCAATTTCATTCATCGCAATATTGACCTTCTAGGCTAACCTTCCCCAATTTGATTTCGTTAGATGTACTGAGATTTCAGCTTCCCTCATCTGCCAATGTAGCCTGAATTGAGGAAAACTAAGGAAGACTATAAGGACGAGTTTCACCATAAAATGATAAAAACCACCTAATATAAAATGGTTCAATTGAAATACTGCTAGAAATGATGGTCTACTTATGATTTTTACAATTATGGAAAAAGGAATGAGCTAATTGTCCTCAGCAGAAATGATATTATAGATTAGGTAGTCATCAATATGGTACAAAACTTGAGCAAAACTTTAAAAAAATATCAGGAACTTCAGTGTGGCTGGCTACTATTAGAGTTCTCTCCCCTCAAATAATGCTGAATTTCTTATTTTACACATTCAACATGTTGTTGGTGAATTCTAAAAAATCTCAACATCAAAAATGTGGACTTATGCATGCAAGTAAGAACCATGACATCACATGTTGATGTGGATGTGTGAAATATGCACTGCAGATCCAACACACACACACACACACACACACACACACACCCTTCATAACACCTGACAATCACCTCAGATTTTATGCGCTTTTCAATGAAATCAAGTGTACATGTTGATCTGGAAGCCATTATCAGCCCTTACCATTTTCCTGAAGAACTCAAGCAACTGGAAACAGAAACTGTTCCTCAAAGAAAGAGACTCTGGGAATATTAAGAGAAAGTGCTGAGAAGAGGCAACTCTTGTTCCAAAAATGACTCAGGGAATAATTCATAAACTTCTTTGTATTTCTCAAGTGTCTGAAATGTTTCTGGAAATAAGGTTCAATATGGCTACAGCCAGTACAATACAACCAAAGTAAAAAAAAACTCAATTCAATTTCCCCACATTGTGAACCCCATAAAGGCATGGCATATCCAGTTTTCAAAATGTAAGGATTCCCTGAATGAAGTCCCAGCAGCTTAGGAATCTTAAATTATTTAATGGAGAAATCCAAAGATTTTTCTCTCTTTCTCTCTCTTTTATATAAAGTTAACAATAAACAAACAAAATGTGTATTTCTTAACAGCTCCCTTCCCTTCAAATGCTGATTTTCTCATCACACTCTAAAGCACACACAAAAAATTGATGTTTCCAACAGAAAAAATGCCACAGCCCTAAGAAATGCTGAGATGCAATGAAGGGAAGATGAAACTTGAAATTAAATGAAGCAGGTCAGGGAAACTGTGGATTTCAGTAGGTGAAATGGATCTGTTTTGCAGTTTAGCCAAACTGGAAAAAGAAATTCCCAGGTCCAGAAGCTGAAAGACAAAGACATACAGATTAGCAAATTAAGTAAGCAAATCATCAAAGCAATTGTTGCAATACTGAGATCTTTTAAACAAAGGCAGATATTCTGTAGCCCACTCAGAAAAGCCATGAAATTGAACAAAAAAATTGTATTATGGGAACAGATGCATTTTGGAGTGACTGGCAAGGAAAGGAAGTAAGGTTTCCTAGCAAATCAAACCTTGATTAAACAAACAAATCCACAACTGATATCATGCATATAAAGCCCCCAATATCTTGTCCTTCTGCAAAGGGGTCAAACTTGGCTTTGTGGTCTTGCAGGAGGGTCAGGCTACTCAGCCTTGGGGCTGCTAGTTCCATGAGAGCATACACAAACACACACACACACCCTCCTGGTAATAACCACTGTTAAATGGCCATGTTAGGATTTTTATCCTTTTGATGTTTAATTGTCATTAGTCTATACTTTTAAAACTTTTAATCCTAATTTAATGCTAATGCTTTTATGTTGTTTTATTTATCAATTATATTACATTATATACCACCCAAAGCCCCTGTCTGAGGGAGATGTTTAGAAATATGAAATATCAATCAATACATAAAACGTAAGCTTTGGGCACAGCACATAAAGGCCTAAAGCACATTTATTGGCACCCTTAAAGGGGACTAAGATCTGGAGAGTGAAACACTTTAAGGGTCCCCTGCTGGAACTATATTTTGTATAAATGAAACCACCTCTACTGAATTCCTGGGACCAAAACTTAACAGGTTCCCCACTTGTCCTGAAATGAAGGATCGAGAGACACTGCCTCAATTGATAGCTACAGGCTGCTTTTCTATTCAAAAGCAGGACCTCCTTCTTTTTAATATACAGTGTGAAAGATGACCCACCTTCAAAACTAAAACTTCCAGGTGTTCCAAAGAAAGCTTTGAAGATATTATTAGCATCAAAATCTATTGGGAAGTATAAGTGAAGAAAAAAAAAGCACATGAGAAGGAATTCTTGTTTAAATTTACATTTATAGTCATAAAAGTTCTGAAAAGCTTCTATAATATTTTGCAGCATTCATTTTTTTTTCTTATGTTTGCCTTGCCCTCAATCTCCAAACCTTTTGATTATGCTATTAGACATTAAGTGAAAGTAATAATCAAATTCAATTTTATATAATATATAACATTATATAAAAAATATAGAACACTTCTCTCAAAATTTTGAGTATATGTGGACCCTCCTTGTTCCCATTCCATAACTAAGCACCTATGCACAGAAAAGTCACTAATTAAAAGCCCTCTTTAGCACTTACCTCCCATATTCATGCCATCTTCTTCTAGATCCTGGCCACTGTCATAACGAGCCTTTTTCTTTGGATCAGAGAGAATGGTAAAGGCTTCACCAACTTCTTTGAATTTTTTTTCTTCCTCTTTTTGGATTTCAGCACTTGCTCCACTATGCCGATCTGCCCAAAAAAATTAATATGTGGGATTGGTGGGTGAGGCAGTGAGAGAGACAGAGAGGAAAAAAGCCTAACTGCAATGAGAAAGAATAATTGATTCTAATAAACAGGTGAAAAAAAAGCTGTTTATCAAAGTGATACAAATTTAGTGTGAGGAGAAGCTTAATTTACTTATTTATTAATTAAGTACTGAAGCAGATTTGTGTTACTAGATTTTTCTCCTGCCTTTCTATTCAACTAATTACTCGGGGCAAATATGTTAAAAACAAGGCCTTTTCTGAGTCACCTTTCATATGGATCTGAATATCCAAACAGGTTTACAATGGAAATCATGGTTCTTCAAGTAGCTAGACTGTAAGCTATTTAGAGCTTTAAAAATTAATACCAAAGATCAAATTGTTTCCTACTAAGCAATTGGTAATTAGTGCCAATATTTTAGGGCAGGCAATATATAATCTGAAAATTATTTATTGCATTTTTTAATCTGTAGATTCCAGTTAATTACAACAAATATATGACCTTTCTGTATGTTCTCTAGCAGATTTCAGCTCTCTATTGTAGCTTAGAAACAACAAAGATAAGTGAGGTACAATTGTATAGTGGGAATTGTAACAATTCTTCATAATGTTCTAAATGAATAACTTGGAATAAAAAAAACCTGTTCCATTATCAAGGACAAAAAAAAATAACAATGGGGATTTGCAATTAGAAAGAGTGTTACCCTAAGTAACAGAAACAAAGAATGACCTATGGATTTTGAGAGATTAATGTATGCACTTGCACTGAACTCACCCACAAACCCTCTAGGAGGAGCTTTAGTTTGCGTGAGTATTTCTACCCCTGAGTTCCAATCTCCCATTGTTTCTCTTATTTTTTTTTCTTACCGTGTCTGCTTTTCATGACCAGGAATAATGAATATAAACAAATTTCCAATTAGCTAATGAGCAACAGCAGAAATAAAACTGCGCTCAAAAGAATAGTGGATAATTTGGGGTTGGTGGCAGGATTTCATGGGTATTAAAGGAAAGTTGGCAATTCCAGATGCTGAGTGGAAATGGAAAACCTCAAAATCTCATAGCTTCAGAGAACATGCTGAAAATTGCCTTCACATCATAAGTGACAGGGCAATGCATGATAGAGTCTTATAGCTATTTTTCTTCAAACCCAGATGGAGGGAAAAAAAGAGTAGGAGAAAAGCCTCTAGTTACAGAGCATTTTTGCTCTTTTTCTGTCATATTACATCATTTAGCAACTAAATTTCAGCTCTATTATCTTTCATAATGTCATCATTCCGTAACTGAAGCTTGCTCATTTTGTCATACATTGATAGGAGCCTCTGATTCTTCGATGAGGCAAATGTTTTTTGGCAGAAGTCAAACTGATTTAGTCTCAGCAATGATTTTTTTTTAACAACTATTGGCAATAATATTTTCTACTCTGGAGCAAGTCAAGATCACAACCCTATAGAGATAATTCTCGAGGATTTGTTAATTGGATATTAAATGAACATGATCTCTCCCTGTTTTACCCAATGCATTCGTTAATTGAACACACAGGTCATTAACTGCACATGAGATATCTCAGGGTGGGGAAGACCATGGGGAGCCTAGTGCTTCCGACACCCAAGGCCTCTGCTGACCCACTGAGGTATCTCATGTTCCCCATCCCCCATCCTGTCCTACCGAGTCTCCACAGGTACTGGGCCTACGAAGTATCACTTATCTTTCGAAGATCTCAATGATCAAGTCTCTCCAGACGCTATGGTTTCTTTCTCTTCTCCCAGCATTCAAAAAATGGAGTCTTCAGTCCTCTTTGCAAAAAGCTGCAAGCCTCCATTCTTCACACAAAAAGCTTTTTGTAAAGACAGGAGCTTTCAGGGGCGCGATTTCGCACCTTCCCCAAGTTTCTGTCCCCTTTGCTCAAGGCTTTTGGCATGGAGAACAGAGGTCTGCAGGGGTACATTCTCCTCGTCAAATGCCTTTTGCAAAGAGGACAGAAGGATATATAAGAAGACAGCTGCTTCTTATAGTTTCTATTTCCTATTTTCAAAAGGTAAGTGAGCGATGGGTGACAGGATGGGCAGGGGGAATAGGCAGGGGGAATGTTGCAGCATCTCTATGGTCGGTCATAGGAGTGAACGACTGCTCTGGTGCTGCAACATTCGTAACTTCGGGACTGTTTTTTAAGTAGTTTTTTTTTGGGGGGGTGTCATAAATTTGAACCATCATTAAGTGAACTATTGTAACTCAAGGACTACCTGTAGTTTCCTGGCTCCTTTGGAACTATTATAACTTTTCGTCTGAAAGTTTATTTCAGTATTATATTTTTGTGAAAATATTAGGAATTTTATATTTGAGTTCTTTAAATGTGCTTGGATAAAGGCCATGTAGTACTGAGGGGATGGTGTGAAACCATCTGTTTTATAGTGTATTGTACATAACTGTGTTGAGAGAATTGTAGAGGATGACAATGGAGCAATTATTCCATTTCAAATAGAACTGTAAAAATTGAAATTGCATCATGCCACTTTCTAAACAAGAAAAGAAAAACAATCTTCTTCAGTACTTTTGAATATTCCCTTCTTGCTCCTATTGAAAGGACTCATTGCTGAGCACCCTCAGTTCCAGAGAAGTTGGAACTCAATAACTTAGTCAGAAGAAAAACAAAAAGAAGTCCTCAAGTCACTTATCCTATCTTCTTGAACTTTACTGACAATGTAGCAGTATCAAAAAACTCATATCAATGCACCTTTTTGAATATTTGATTTGTATCACTTACTAGTTAAACTCCTAGCACAATGATAATCACAATTCCTGTAATGGCTCAAAAGTCCAGCAATGTTGTCTTCTGAGACAACTACATTCTCACCCCATCTTTTTCACCCAATCAAAGCTTGGGCAATGTTAAAAAAGGGGAGAGGAGGGTCTTTGCACTAAGCAGACAACAGAGGAGCCTTTGTAAGAAAGCTTACATTGTCAAGTATATTCCTGTCATGACATTCTAGTTCCCTCAGTTAAAGAATCTCTGAAAAGTTAACAGTGGAACTGGGGCAACTTTTTTTGTACCTGGGTGATGCATTAGGGCCCGTTTCCGGTATGCTTTTTTAATTTCATCTTCAGAGGCATTCTTATCCACACCCAGGATCTTGTAATAATCTTTCCTTTTACTCTTTTTCAATTCCATCTGTGCATTCTTGAGTAGCTGTTTGTGTTCTACAATATATGAGAGGGAAACGTTTTTAGCTGCAAGAACAAATTACACAATGAATGCAATTCTCCTCCAAGCAGGCTAAATAAGGGGAAATTCAGGATTAATAAAGTACATTTTGATGCAATATACAATAGTTAAGATTTGTTGTCATTAGATAGAATGATGGCTCCCAATTTAGTTTATTTTTAAAAGGGGATAAATTAGAACTACCAACAGCTGTTTGTCTGGAATCTAACTATATACTACTAAAAATCTCCTGTTTGCCTATTTGTAGTCGTTAATTGGGTGAAACTGTGCGTGATAGGGCAATCATTTTAGAATCAAAGTACCTCAAATGGGGTAACTTAAAGAATGTGTCCAAAGCCTGAGATCTATCATTCCAGTAGAACTGAAACTCGGCTGCCACAGTCATGCGATCATCATTTCTAATGCTCCCTGCCAGCTTTCCACAAGGAAAATTATCGGGGAAACTGGCAGGAAGTTGGAAATCTCAGGCTGCCAAGTAGGTAAATGGCTGCTGGATGGAGGAGTGAATGAGGGGGTGCACAGAGATGGAGGGGTGTGAGGTTGTGAGGGAAGGTTAGTGCACACAGGTGCTGTGGCGAGGGTTAGGGAAGGTGCATGGAAGTGTGAAACAGCGTGAGGAAAGTGTAGAAAGGGTCAGTGAATGTGTGCACAGAAGTGGCCAAGAGGTAAGTAAGTAAATATCTCTGAAAGAATGACCCAATAGGTCTTGGGTTATCTAATATGTCTTAAATACCAAGAAAACTCAGACTGAAGAAGTCAGTGAGATATAATTGCTACTATCCAGGCTCCAGAGTGGCCCTAGCCATGGAAACATGACTTTGCTCAATTGCTCTCATTCAGACAAACCTACCTCACAGAGTTGTTGTAGTGAAAAAAAACAGGAGCGAGCACTATGCATGCTGCCTTGAGCTCCTGAGTGAAAAAAGTGTGATATAAGTCAAGTAAGATTGTCTGAAAATAATAATTAAGACCAGTTTTAAGCAATACTGAGCTAATGTACCCATTATCCCTAACCACTATAAAAGTTGTAGTAGCCTGGATCAGCTAATAAATATTATAAAAGGCCAGTGAAGTCCAGAAGTAAATGCTCTATATTTACCTTTAGTTTTCTCTGTCTGGTAAACCTTTTCATAATCTCTCACAGCATCTTCATGCTGCTCTGTGTCCATGTAACTAGGCAGAAGCATAATTAACCTTATAAGTCTCAAAATAAGCTACAAATTACAACAGATTAAATGAGGAAAAAAAAATCAGAAAATGATTTGAGCTAAAGGGAAGGAGAAACCTCTCCTAACCCACTTTTCAGCTATGACCAATTTCTACATACCTACCAAGTCAGGGAGGAAGTACTGTACTGTATAGAAAAGTAATTTACAGGAAATCAAATTTGGTATGATGAGCAACGTGGCCTAATTTCTACAACAGAGTACTGCAGCTGAATCTAGCAGAAATTCATGGAATAGTTTTGATCTGGTGCATTTTAACCCCAATTATCTCAAAGGTTTGGAATGAAATCTGGAGTGAGAAGAAGCAAGAATATAGTTCTAAACTTCTCAATGTAAAAACAAGAGAGTGAAAGTACATGGAGAAATTTTTCAAAAAGGAAAATAGTTGTTTTTTTATTGTTTAGCAATTGCCTCATTTAGCAACCACTTGCAATTATGAAGATCTCATTCTGTCCCATCCCGTTCGCTTCCTGGTTGAAAGGATTAGCTGGTGACATTATGGGGGGCTCCTTTCACGTCCCCATTAAAGTGCTCATGGAAGTGGTATCTACTCGTAATTACTTTCTTTTGAACCGCTAGGTCAGCAGGAGCTGGAGCGAATGGAGCTCGCCCCACTACACAGCAACACTTGGGTCTCAAACATAGGCTTGCTAGTCGTCAATCCAGCATCCTAACCATGTGAGCCACCATGCTCCTCACTCCTCATATTTATGACCTCAGCAGGTCTGTACAGCAAAGGAAAGTTGAACATTAACATTCAGCAACCTAGTTGAGGTTGCTAAATAAGGATTACCTTTATATTCTTCCCAATGCAGTCAATTCACTTAGCTAATATTTGGTATCAGAACATTCTAAATCAAAAGATTTAGTATCTTCACTACTTCTTAGATTAGACTAGTCTTTCCTAGCATTATTTGGAATTGTTCTTTTTAATGATATGCTCCCGACACCATTTTTTGTTCTGTCTAAAAAAATTGTTTTTTTAATTACTAAGTCAGGTATTCCCCTGCCTCCAATTTTAGATGCCCATTCTTACCACTGTGCTCTTCTTAGATAGGCCTTGATGTATGTGTCGTCCAGTTTGATAGCATTTGTACAGTCTCCTATTGCTTCACATAACTTTCCAAGCTGGAAGGCAAACACCAAGCTTAGGAACTAAATCCTTTGGCATTATTTTTAGTCTCTAAGAGTAGAAAGCAATACATCTCAACTTCAATCTTTATTTGCTTTAACAGGTCCCTAAGTGAGTTTAGTTCATGGCTTTTTGATCCCTTAGCACATACCCTAATATAATAATAATAATATTAATATTAATATTAATAATAATAATAATGGTGATGATTTAATCTTCAATTCAATTCACAGTCTGGGACTGGTAAAAACTTAACAGTTCAAGTCGTAACCAAGGATCTAAGAGTTATTAAGGTAATGTCTGAGTATATAGGTAGTTCTGAGTAAGGTGGTTTTTCACAAAAATTAGAATATTCAGGTCTGATAAGTTCAAAATTTCCATGTATGTAGGCAACCCTTTGGGTATTGCTCCAAGGGCTCCTATTACTATTGGTACAACCATTGATTTCTTCCTCCACAATCGCTCAAGTTCAATTTGCAGATTGTGGTATTTCATTATTTTTTCTAGTTGTTTCTCTTCAATTTGTGCATCACCTGGTATTGCCATATCAATGAACCAGAGTTTTTTTCTTTTCCACAATAGTGATGTCAGGCGTGTTGTGGACCAGATATCATTTTCAAGAACTTTATCAATTTGGTGTTCCCAGTAATTTTTTCTAGATTCAAACCTAAGCTTCCGGCAAAGCTTCCAATCTATGATTTTTGGCAACTTGATCATGACGTTGTAGATAATCAGTCTATAAGATTTTGCTGTAGCCACTGATATGGTGATCCACTGTTTCATGTTTCTCATTGCATAAGTGACATTTGCTTTGGTTACTGACATGTTGAATTTTTGCTTTCATGGAATTGGTCTGCAGAGCTTGTTCTTGGACAGCCAAAACGAAACCTTCAATTTCTTTCTTCAGCACCTCTGATCTCAATTATCTCCATGTTAGCTTTGTATCTACTTTCCCTTTAATGTCCTCCAGATATTGACTGTGCATAGGCTTCTTTTTCCAGTTAGAAACTCAATGATCAATTGATTCCTTTCAATATTGTTTTCAATCTCATTGTTTTCAAGAGGTTTTCCTTGTTCACCTCCTTCAGCAGAGACTCTTTCGCTTTTTTTATGTAGTCATTTAAGCCGTGTTTTTCCTCTTTCAGTTTGTTTCACTTGTAAGAATCCTCTGCCACCCTGACATCTAGGCAAGTACAATCAATCAATATGACTTTTTGGTTGGAGAGCACTGTGCATTGTCATTAATTTTCTTTTCTTTCGATCCAAGTTATCAAGTTCTAGTTAAGTCCAATCAATTATTCCAGCTGAGTTTCATATTATAGGCACTCCCAGGTGTTAATTGCCTTTATGATATTTCCTCCACTTAGCTTTGATTTCAAGATTTTACAGAATCACTTTATGTATTTCATTGAAGTAACTTCCTTGACTTGTTGTGCAACAGGTCAGATGCTTCCAAAACTCCTAAGTACTTGTACCCTTCTTCTGGTGTTACTGCTTTTATCAACTCTTCATTATCAAGTGTGAATCCATCATCTTCAACAATGTTTCCTGCCTTAACAGCAATTGTTGTACATTTGTCAATACCAAATTGCATCTCAATGTCTATGCTAAACTCCTTGGTGCTTTTCAGCAGTGAGCTGCAATTCAGCTTTTGTTTTTCCAAACAGTTTTAAATCATCCATATAGAGCAAATGGGAAAATGTTAACCCTTTTTAAACTAATTCATAGCCATAGCTTGTTTTGTTCAAAATGTTTGTTAGTGGTATCATCGAAAGTACAAATAACACAGGTGACAATGAGTCGCCTTGGAAGATTCTTCATTTGATTCAACTTCACGAAGTTCTTCTCCACAGGCCATCAACTTAGGTTGCCCTAGCTTCATGGAAGTCTTCAGGAATTTTTGGATGTTGCTGCTAATTCCAAAAATATTTAAGCATTTCTCAATCCAGCTGTGTGGAACAGAATCAAATGCTTTCTTATAATCAATCTAGGCCATGAACATGTTGGTTAGTCTTTTCTTTGAATTCTACAAAACCAATTTATCAATCATCAGTTGGTCTTTGGTTCCTCTTGAATTTTTGCAGCATCTTTCTGTTCTACAGGTAATATATCCTTATTTTCTAGATATCCATAAATTTGGTTTGCAATAATGCCTGTAAGTAATTTGTATGTTGTTGGCAGCCAAGTGATTGTCCTGTAATTTTTAAATTTATTTCCCTTTTCTGCATTCTTTTGAATCAAAAAACTTCTTCCAGTTGTTAGCCATTTTTTATTTTCTGGTTTCCAGATCCTGATTCATCTGGTTTGCTAATCTTGCATGCAAACTTGTTAGTGATTTCAACCAGAATCTATGCAGTTCATAGAGTCTTGATCTTGAGCTGCTACTACTATTACTATTACTACTACTACTATTGATTTAATCTTCAATTCGATTCACAGTCTGGGACTGGTAAAAACTTAATAGTTCAAGTCCTAACCAAGGACTTAAGAACTGTTAAGGATCTGGGATAGGCAGATCTGGATGTTTTATGGTGTTATAGATATTGTCGCAGAATGGAAGCTGTCAGCTATCTTTTGCAACTGACTGATGGCAAATTTGTCAATGCCAATGGTATTCAAGTGATGCTCCACTTGTTTTGGGATTGCACCCAAGGCACCTATTACTATTGGTATTACTCTTGCTTATCTTGGCACAGTTGTTCTATTTCTATTTGTATTTTGTTATCTTCTCCCATTCTTTCTCTTCTATTCTCTTCTATTCTGCTGTCTCCAGGCTCTGCCACATCCACTATCCAGACTTTTTTGTCTTTCTTATTGACAATGGTTAAGTCTGAGGTGATACATGGCAGGTGCCTGTCTATTTGAATTCTAAAGTCCCAGAGCAATTTAACTTCTTTGTTTTCTATGACTTTCTCTATTTAATGGTCCCACCAGTTCTTGCATGCAAGCAAATAATATTTCTTGCTGATCTTCCAATGTACCATTGTTGCTACTTTGTCATGCTGCTGCTTGTAGTCAGTTTGGGCAATCTTCTTGCAGTGCCTTACTAGGTGGTCCATTGTTTCTTCAACTTCTTTGCTTAAGTGGCACTTACTGTCCGTTAATATTTTCTCAATTCTGGCTTTGAATGCATTTGTCCTTAAGGCTTGGTCTTGTGCAGCCAGAATTAGCCCCTCAGTCTCTTTCTTCAACTTTCCTGTTCTTAGCTATTACCTTTGCTATTGCCAGGTCTTGTTATTATCTGCTTTTCTTGTTATTTTTTTTAATGGACTGGCCATGTAGTGCTTTGTCTTCCCATGGCTCCATTCTGTTCTGCATTTGGTCTTTCTGTAGGCCAGTTTGGACTCTTCAGTATTCAGTAAGCCTTCCCAGCATACTAACTTCAGTGCATCTTCTTCATTGTCCTTCAGATATTCTTCCAAAGCTCTTTTTTCTTTTTCAACCATCTGATGTTCTTCTTCAACAATCCATGCCCACCTATTTGCCTTGGTAGGTAGAGTCTGTCAATGTCGCTGCATGGATGGAAGGGCATTATTCATTGTCATCATTATCATTATTATTATTATTTAAGATTTAGACTTCAATTCAATTCACAGTCTGGGACTAGTAAAACTTAACAGTTCAAGTCCTAACCAAGAATCTAAGAGCTGTTAAAGTAACGTCTGAGTATATACAGTGAGGAAAAAAATTATTTGATCCTCCGTTGATTTTGTACATTGTTCTTTGCCCACTGACAAAGAACTGATCAGTCTATAATTTTAATGGTAGGTTTATTTTAACAGTGAGAGACAGAATAACAACAAAAACCCCCCAGAAAATGCATTTCAAAAAAGTTATAAATTGATTTCCATTTTAATGAGTGAAATAAGTATTTGATCCTCTATCAATCAGCAAGATGTCTGGCTTCCAGGTGTCTTTTATACAGGTAACGAGCTGAGATTAAGGGCACTCTCTTAAAGGGAGTGCTCCTAGTCTCAGCTTGTTACCTATATAAAAGACACCTATCCACAAAAGCAATCAATCAAACAGATTCCAAACTCTCCACCATGGCCAAAACCAAAGAGCTCCCCAAGGATGTCAGGGACACAATTGTAGACCTACACAAGGCTGGAATGGGCTACAAGACTATCGCCAAGCAGTTTGGTGAGAAGGTGACAACAATTGGTGCGATTATTTACAAATGGAAGAAACACAAAATAACTGTCAATCTCCCTCGGTCTGGGGCTCCATGCAAGATCTCACCTTGTGGAGTTGCAATGATGATGATAATGGGGAGGAATCAGCCCAGAACTACATGGGAAGATCTTGTCAATGATTTCAAGGCAGCTGGGACCATAGTCACCAAGAAAACAATTGGTACCACACTATGCCGTGAAGGACTGAAATCCTGCAGCGCCCTCAAGGTGTCCCTGCTCAAGAAAGCACATGTACAGGCTCGTCTGAAGTTTGTCAATGAACATCTGAATGATTCAGAGGAGAACTGGGTGAAAGTGAAGTCAGATGTGACCAAAATAGAGTTCTTTGACATCAACTCAACTCGCTGTGTTTGGAGGAGGAGGAATGCTGCCTATGACCCCAGGAACACCATCCCCACTGTCATACATGGAGGTGGAAACATTATGCTTTGGGGGTGTTTTTCTGCTAAGGGGACAGGGCTTCACCTCATTAAAGGGACGATGGAGGGGCCATGTACCGTCAAATCTTGGGTGAGAACCTCCTTCCCTCAGCCAGGGCATTGAAAATGGGTCATGGATGGGTATTCCAGCATGACAATGACCGAAAACACATGGCCAAGGCAACAAAGGAGTGGCTCAAGAAGAAGCACATTAAGATCCTGGAGTGGCCTAGCTAGTCTCCAGACCTTAATCCCATAGAAAATCTGTGGAGGGAGCTGAAGGTTTGAGCTGCCAAATGTCTACCTCGAAAACGTAATGACTTGGAGAGGATCTGCAAAGAAGAATGGAACAAAATCCTTCCTGAGATATGTGCAAACTTGGTGGCCAACTACAAGAAATGTCTGACCTCTGTGATTGCCACAAGGGTTTTGCCACCAAGTACTAAGTCATATTTTGCGAAGGGATCAAATAACTTATTTCACTCATTAAAATGTAAATCAATTTATAACTTTTTTGAAATGTGTTTTTCTGCATTTTTTTGTTGTTATTCTGTCTCAGTTAAAATAAACCTACCATTAAAATTATAGGCTGATCATTTCTTTGTCAGTGGGCAAACGTACAAAATCAGCAGGAGTTCAAATATTTTTTCCCTTACTATAGGCAGTTCCAAGTAAGGTTGTTTTTTGCAATGTCAGAATATTCAAGTCTGATAAGTTCAAAATTTCCAAGTATCTAGGCAATCCTTTGGCTATTGCTCCAAAGGCTCCTATTACTATTGGTACAACTACTGATTTCTTCCTCCACAATTGCTCAACTTAAATTTCTATTATTATTATTATCATCATCATCATCATCATCAAATTCATGTAATTCACATAATTCTCATAGCCCTACACAATCAGTGGGACAAGGTGGATTTGGCTGCTCTATAATCTGTTTTGCTTCAAATTCTTGCTGTGAGGTATTATTGGCTCTTCAAAAAGAAAAACTAAACAATTTGGAATAACAAAATCATAATACGGTTGCACAGTGCAAACCTTAAAAAGTATTGTTTCCTAAAAGAAGAATGAAATATTGAAGAGGTCATCCAAATGTAGCACATTCTAGAAAACATATATGTGGATGGTTGGCAGCTATTTAAGCTAATTCAAGGAAATATTCATCTTGACCTCATTTGCAAAATTATCAGCATTTGTTCTTATCAGAGATTTTATTTGCTGGAACAGATTACAATGGCTATTATATTTTTCCTGCTGTTCCCAGTGCTGCAGAAATGAACAGCCAAATGAATTAAGCACTTGATAATTTTGGGGAGCTTTAAAATGCAAGAGGCAAAAAAAGATAATGTCTTCTATGCTTAGTGATTTTCTTTGTATCCTTGAGTGTTTGTAGAATGACTTTCTGATTTTATTCTTATTTCACCAATTCTGTTAATCTCCAAAATATTTTTCAGGTTTTTAAAATTACCGCTTGCTTAACTCAAAAAGATCACATTGTGCTACTCAGTTTCAGCATCAAACATAGCACAACAACAGCAGAGTTAAAAATTAAAGAGACCCTATCTCCACTTTCCACATTTATTAGTAATCAAATTGCTTTTGAGCTAAACCCAAATCACTCAGATACAGTACTTGTAAATCCAGAGATCAGCTAGAACAAACACTATTGGCACCACTGTGGTTCAACTCTGACATATAATAAGATTTGTAAGGATTTAAATAAATAAGCAAACATAGAGGCATTGCTATTCCGAACAATTTCTCATGTTTGATATTTCAGGTTTCAGTGGTGAGATGACTGCTTCCAATGTGACCTTCATGATCTTTTACAATTGAAGGTCAAAAGAATTCTTCAAGCCCTTTTGTATTACACATTGCAATAAGGAGAGATCTGAGGTAATGTCTCCCACATTTAAAACTGTGTTAGAAGGCTTCAGAGATTCCTGATCTAAAAAAAAAAAGACTCTACCTGGGCACTTACTTTGGAATTAACAGTTCCACGATTACAATAGAGTTTGGCATTGGTTTTCCTGTTGTTTGGATCTATTGCTAGAGCCTCTGTATAAAGTGTAAAGGCCAGCTTGTAATTCCCTTCCTTGAAAGCCTTGTTACCATCATCTTTCTTTGCTTTCAGTGCTTTGGCATTCTGAAGGAAGAAGTGGGTCAAAAGATAATGAAAGTCTTTGAGTAATTAAAAAAAAAACCTTAGGCTGTCTTAGCAAATCTTAGTTGGCTAACTCGCATAAATATTTCTATTGAAGAATTACTCAATTCCCAATCTCAGGATCTAGCAAATAGAGAGAAATGTTTTGGGCACATCTCAATACATTATCAAAGTTGTGTAATATGAAGCAATTCATAATATTTGGAAGAAAAGAGATTATTATTCAGATGACAGCATTTCTTCTTCTCTACTCAGTTTGAAAATACTTAATTTAGCACATGCTTTAATAATGTAATAGCAAAAGGAGATTTCTAATTGCTACCACCATCTATCGTCCCTTGAATATGGCGTGAAATTTAGGATTTCTAAAGTAATTCCTGGGAGCATTCTGAAAAAATTCGGGTAAGTCAGAGTTGAACCTCTGCATCTTTTAAGTATTTATTTAAAACATTTTTAGCAACTCTTAGGATGCTGTAACTAGTAGCATCCTTCATCACTGAACATTGGAGTTCTGAATCAGCAAGATTTTAAAAGCCACACCCCACCCAGGCCTGTCATAAAACCCATACATCTCCCCAGCATTTCTTTTGATGCTTACACGGCAGGCAAGGCAGGCTTTATCGTGGTCAGGAGCCATTTTTAGTGCCTGGACGAAGAACTGCACAGCCTTCTCGATGCAGTCCTCATAGTAAAGGCAAAGCCCTCGGACATAGAGAGCATCAGCATTTGTTGCATCTATTCGCAAGATGTCGCTAAATACAGAGCGCAGGAGGAGGGGGAAAAAAATCACAGGACAAAAACAGAGCTGGGTACATTCTTACTCTCAAACCAAGACACCAATACTGTAAAGAACTTGTAGCATAACAAATATGTATTTCAAATCAATATGTGATGCCTCACTTCTGCAGTTTCCAGGCAAGGACAGCATCCTTTCTAGCTGTCCACTGTCTTTCTTTTTCTCTAATTCCTGACACTGGTCTTTTTTTTGCTTTTATTCTAGTGGACCATTTCCATTCCAGCTCCCTTCTGTCAATTTCAAAACAAGTATACACATGAGCATTTTTATTTATAATCACATTTGTATAGCCCATCTCACATAACTACTTTGGGGTGGTGTACTTAACAATTTTTGAAGGCTCCTATTGCATTTTATTTTGCTTTCTGCTGGGGGTCCTGTGGACACAAAGATACCTCAGAACTAAAAATGTTTTAGTCAGTTATACACACTAATTGTTCATTGTTCATTTTTCATTAAACACTAATTTCTCCAATTTGCTATAAATTCTGAACCTGATGCAGAATGGAATGATTAGAATAGTGAACTTGTTCAGGCAGGATTGAAGTTGTCCTTATCCTGTCTTTGTGGGTCTTCTGGAAATTCAGCTTAACAGGAAAGAGCAGAGTGTTATGCCAAAGTTAGCTGTGACTCACACTCTCTTTTTCTGTGACTGTGCATTTCTGAACAAGAAGTTGAATTTATTTCTCAGTACCTTTATTCGTATCCTTGTTTGATTCTCCTAAAATTACTTGAGGACCATTCCATTAGTTCATTTGATTTCCATTCCTCTCCTTTCCCATCTCTTTCTTTTCACAATATATCCCGGTTTTTAAATATTTTTAAAAACCGTGGTTTTTGCAAAAATGAAAAAAGCAAAAACAAACATAGATTCCACTGTAATTTAAAGAAATAAAAATTGTTTTGGGTGCCAATGTGTCTTCTCAATACTAGATAATGCAAAAGCAGAGTTCCAGTCTTTTTGTTAGAGTCAGGAACATGAGCTATTGCCCTCAGTGTTAACTACATTATTATTTATACATATAGGCTTTCCCATCAAATCTGTTATAGTTCTTACCTTATAACAGACTGGGCTTCAGAATAGCGACCTAGCAAAGCTAAACATTCTGCTTTTAGGATTTTGAACCGGTGACAGGCAGGGGCAAATTCTAGAGCACGATCCATACAAAAGACAACCTAGGAAATAGACACAAAAGAGAAAAGAAAAAAAACAGAACACAAAAACTCAGATATTGGTTTGAAGGCAACTCTATGCCTGCTGAAGATATGCGTGCAACCTGAATATCTGTAATAGTTGGGAGTTCTGCTCTGAAATCAAATTCAGGATAGGCAAAAATTAGTATCTTTTCCATTTAACTCATAATTCATAAAGCATATGGATAATGTATGTATCTCTCAGCAGCTTTTGGTCCTAATAACTAAATAAGAGTCAATATGTTCAGGGGTAGCATACCACAATATTGGTTACTATGGTCAATGTTGACAAGGGAGGAACATACCACAGTAAGTTTGAAATCTGATTTATTTTACAGATTATAAAATAAGAATACTTATAGATCTGCATAAAGGGTCTTTTGCACAGGATGCATATCTTTTGCAAGTTAGCCTAAGGCTTTGAAATGGTACTAATTTTCAAACACCAAAGCTCAGCCTCTCCCAAAAATCTTGTGAACCTTTTTATGAGAGCATATAGAGAAGTTTAAGAAGCACAAATACCCCCTCCCCCCCAAGTAACTAAACTGCTACTAGTCATTGATTAAGGCCATTCACACGTAATACCTGATTTTTTCTATTTTTTCTACCTAGCAGCAGTGGGAAATCCACCCCCCAAAAACAGGTAAGGGGAGGCTTTTCTGCAGGTCTGATCTTCAGGATATTCCTGTGGAAAATTACATGAATCAAGCCTTTCCAATATGCAACCATAACCTCCCATCTATTAATTACTCTTGGAAGAGCATAAGAATTTCTTTATTTTGTAAATGATGCTCGGTTGAAAATATGCACGTAGTCATTTCCAGAAGTACTAACAGGTGAAGCACACAGTCTTTATTCATAGAAATTATTGGGTGGAATTTGTTTTGAGAGCAAAATAAACCTAAACCCAAGTATGCCACAATCACAAAATGGGGGAGGGGGGTTGTGAGTACTACCTAAAGATGCAAAACATGAATATGGACAATAGATAATAGTAGATAAATCTTTGCTATTTAGAAGTTCTTCTTTCGGAATATTTCTCCTGGCATGGGGGGGGGGGGGGAATAAGAAAAAAAAGCTATAGATTACTATCTATTTTCCACACTCTTCATCTAGACCATTTTCAGTCTTTAAACTAGATGCCTTTGCCCCAACTTCTATGTGACCAGGACAGATATGGCTTAATAATACATCAGTATCTATTTTGCATACTTCTGTATTCTGGGGTAAAAGCTTTTCTAAATAAAAGGGGATGGTACCTTCTCCATTATTTCCAAAGAAGTAATGAGTGCTAGAATTGAGTCCGCATAAGTCCACTAGTTTATCTGTCACAGCTTCTCTGTTCATGGGACAAGCCTGCTCACTTGTCACAGTCCTGCTTCCCTTCACAGAGACAGCTTGTTCACTATATTAGTCCCCACTTCCCCCCAGCAGTAAAATGATTTTTGAATCACTGAAGAAACTTGATTCACTGAAATATAAGCATAATTCAAGGGAAAACGTAAATATCAACATTCAGAAAATGGATAATAGTGAATTGATCTTAAGTTAATTACCCATAATGAATTTGCATATGTCCTGCTAAGTGGAATTATGTCACCACTCAAGCAACCCAAAAGAAATGCATTGATGGGGTAGATAATGATGAGAAAAATGGGAGTTCATTGAGCTGAAGATCCACTTGCCCCTAAGCTCTCAGAATTCAGATTTCTACTGAATATAATTTCTCAGCAAATTTGTGCTAAAAATTGTTATTATGGCATGGGACATATAAGACAACTCAAAAGGTACTGTAAATACTTTTTCTGCTATAAATTTCATTTTAAAAACATTTAAGAATGGAAAAGATGAGAAGGCATACACAAAAGCAACCACCAATTTTATCTTATTCATCTGAAAGTGTCAATTCCTCTGCTCTTAAAAATGAAAATGTGTGTTATTTAATGAAATGGTCCTCTCATTTTTCTGAATGTTTATTTAGTGTCCTGTGATTGCAGAAATTTTGAGAAATACTGCACTAGAAACTTAAGAAACTGAAAATGTTAAAAGTGGCTTCAATGAAGCAGCAGCTACAATGCAAATGATGAACCCAAATTTCAGGCCTCAGTGAGTGTTCTCATGGTCTCTCAGCTGTATATGAAGAGGACATTGTTGGTTTGAGGCTCAGCTGGATTCTCAAATTCCCTTCCCCCAATTCTTCTCACTGGTGACATCACCACTGGGTGCTGTGGAAAGTGCAGAGACACTCCAGATGATGGAGCCACAAAAAGGAGGAGCTTCTTCTCCAGAAACAAGGGACATGTTTGATACTGCATAAGGGACAGAGAAGCCTAGATAGAGCTTGCTTAAGACAAGGCAGATTTCTTCCTTAAGACAAACTTCTGATTGTCTCTGGTGAACCAGCTGCTCTTAGCAATTAGAAAGCAGCATAGTAAGAATTCACTAGGTCAGACAGAGGACTTAACATTGAAAGAGTGGGGCTAAGCAACAATACCATCTTGCTGAAGAGCAATTAAGAAAAAATATTACTCAGAAGAGACAAAAAAAGAGAGGGAGATTGTGGTCTGAAAAAACAAACAAACCTGTTTCCCATTTATGAAAAGGATGAGATTAAGTAAATGTGAGAGCAAGAAAGAAAGGAGTCTCATGGCCCCAACTAGGCAAAATTAAAAAAAAGTTTTCTCCCTCCCTCCCTCCCCACCTCATTCCACACACATACATACACATCAATCAATCTTTATCACCTTTCGGAAGTCCCGTTTTTCAAAGTCAACTTCAGCAATTTTCTCATATTCTAGAACAGTTTTGGCACTCTTAAGCTGGAAGAGAAGTTATCATATCAGATTAGTAAATATTAACTGTATGAAAGGCATCAGGCATTTCACTACTGAATGAATTCACAGGATTCTCAATCAGCTATTAGCCAGAATTCTGAGAGCAAGTAGAGCTCAATGTATCTGATAGATAGCAACACTGGGGAGTCTAATGTTTTAAATGTTATATTTATTTGAACTTCATAATGATACCTCTGTTTTGATAAACAACATTTAATCATCACTTTTCAACACAATCTTAATAATACAGGCTAATACAGGATGCACAAAGTCTTATACCCAGGATATCTTCAGGATATGTGATTAAGAATCAGGTTTCTAGCATACATGACTTCTGATGTTCCTGAATATATTCAGGCAATATTTAAGATATGCTACAGCACTTGTGGGCAAAATTTCTGTCCTCTATAATATACACACTGCTGGAGGACTCTAAGAGTTATGCTTCTCTGCAAAGCAACTCTTTACAAAAGCATTTACATCCCATATTTAAAGGAGTCAGCATGATAATACAACATGGGTCCTCAAACTGTGTTTTCCAACCTCAAGGATATCATGAGCAATCTACTGAGAATGGGATTTTTAAATATCGGACTAAGCCCAACAGATAAAGCATTGGTGTTGTTAGTTGCAAAGTCGTATCCGACCCATCGCGACCCCATGGACAATGTTCCTCCAGGCCTTCCTGTCCTCTACCATCTTCTGGAGTTCACGCCTACTGCTTCAGTGACTCCATCCAGCCACCTCATTCTCTGTCGTCCCCTTCTTCTATTGCCCTCAATCTTTCCCAGCAATAGGCCCTTCTCCAGTGATAAAGCATAAGTGCTGCCAAAAGATCTTCCCCCTTTGTCTTAAACTCAAGTAGTTTCTGATTTATAGATATAAAAGGGGCAAAATTTGGAGCAAGTTCTGAAACATGGCTAAAACTGAAAGTGTCTCTTATCTGTCAAAACCACCCATCATTTAAAAAAAAAAACTGTGATTGAGCAACAGATGTTGGTTTTTAGCATTTAAATAAATTCAGATAATTTCAAAAACCTGGTTAATATAACATGCTAATTGTATTAACTGTCATTAAGATCAATACTGTGCACTTAAGGCAAATGGAAGGAAAAAATGGAACAATTCACACCAGAGGAGGGATCATCTTGTAGATTTTATCCTTAATAACAAAATTTTATTGTGTCATGTACATACATTGTGTACATTAGCTTTTAATCATTTGGAGAAGTGGTTTAAGAACAAGCATTGTTCCAGTAAGAACATGAGGGGTTTTAAAGAAAATCCAGAAATTCTGTATATAAAAGAAAAAGGAAGTTTTCTCACCAAGCAAAGACTGGTAGAGATGGGGCGTTGTCTTACCTGAACGCCTTTTCTCAGCACGGAGATGGAGGATCCACCCATGGGTAGTAGACTGTATTCCTGCCCAATCAGATCAAGTCAGCCAAAGTTGCCACGCCCGTCCTGGACCCTAGATCCCAGTCTTGACGCGAGTGAAGCCATTGACTGACATAGGACGTACTGGCTCATAAACTAACTGTCCTAGGTAACAACTGCCCCAGAAGAGATAGGGAGGGAAGGTGGATCCTCCATCTCCGTACTGAGAAAAGGCGTTCAGGTAAGACAACGCCCCTTCTCCAGCACTGGAGATGGAGGATCCACCCATGGGACATACCAAAGCCTACTGTCCCTTAGGGTGGGAAACAGACTGGTCCGGTGTGGCATTTTGATGAAGTACCTGTTGGAGGACCCTCCTACCGAAAGAGGCCTCCGCGGAAGCGAATTTATCAATTCTATAATGTCGAATAAATGGAGAAGGCGAGGACCAAGTGGCCGCTCTGCAGATATCCTCTATGGACGGCTGAGTATCCCAGGCCGCAGAGGTAGAAGCGCTCCTGGTGGAATGGGCCGTGACACCTTTTGGAACCGGCAATGAATCAGCTTGATATGCCCCGGCGATGCACTTTCTGATCCACCTGCCTATTGTGGACGAGGAAACCTTCCGACTCTTGGAAGAAGGGTGGGAAGATACGAACAGGGCCTCCGATTTGCGGAAGTCCGCTGTCCGTGAGATATAATAACTGAGCGCCCTGCGGACATCTAAGCTATGCCATTGCCGCTCCAGGGCGCACGAAGGGTTCGGACAAAAGTCCGGGAGTACAATGTCCTGGGTCTTATGAAATGGTGAATTTACCTTCGGTATGAAAGTGGGATCGAGACGAAGGATCACCCTGTCTGAGCGGAAACAACACAGATCCTTGCGGACCGAGAGCGCCGCCAGCTCGGAGATACGTCGAGCCAACGTGATTGCCACTAAAAAGGCCACCTTGTGGGCAAGGTGTTGAAAGTCGCACGATCTCAAGGGTTCGAAAGGCGGCCTTGTCAAGGCCAGAAGTACCCGTGGCAATTCCCAGGACGGGTACCTATGTACCGTGGGCGGCCTGGTGTTCGCCGCTCCCTTGAGGAAAGATCTGATCAAGGGATGATGCCCTAACGACTCTACAGAGTCGCAAGATAGAACTGTGGATAGAGCAGCTACCTGCCTGCGTAATGTGTTCGGGGCTAGTTCCCTCTCCAGACCCTCCAAAAGATATTCCAAAACATGGGGAATAGTGAGTTGAGCAAGTGACAACTGCTTCCTGGAGCACCAGGATTGGAAATTCCGCCATGTGGACTCGTAAATTCGGTTAGTGGAGGGACGACGAGATGCTTGAATGATGTTGATCACCCCTGTGGAACAGAGCTGTCTTGACAAGCAAGACCGCTCAAGCGCCAAACGGCTAACTGGAGCCATTGGGGATCCTGATGGAGGATGGCCCCCTGACTGAGTGAGACTCTGTCCGGGGGAATCCGCCATGGGTTCGTGATGGATAGGCTCATAAGATCGGCGAACCAGGGTCTCCGTGGCCAATAAGGAGCAATGAGAAGTACCTCCGCACCCTCTTGGAGGATTTTGCGAACCACCGCCGGGATCAGAGGGAGCGGCGGGAAGGCATAGAGGAGACCCGGGGGCTATGGGGACCGAAGCGCATCGATCTGTTCCGCCCCCTGAGAGGGGAACCAGGAGAAGAACTGGTGTAATTGTGTGTTGGCCGGGGACGCGAAGAGATCCACTAGTGGGCGGCCGAAACGGTGACAAACCTCCTTGAACACCCTCGGATGGAGGCGCCATTCCGAGTGGTCTATGTTGGCCCTGCTCAACCTGTCGGCTTGAGTGTTCTCCTTCCCCGAAATGTGGTCGGCCTTGATGGAGGCCAGGTTGTGTTCTGCCCAGGATCCCAACAACAGTGACTCGGTCAATAGAGCTCGTGAACGGGTGCCCCCTTGCCTGTTCACATGAGCCTTGGCAGTCACGTTGTCCGTGAGGACAAGGACGTGTCGCCTCCTTACCAGAGCATGAAAATGTCGGAGAGCTAAATGAATGGCCCGCAACTCCAACCAGTTGATGTCATGCCGAAGGTCCGAATGGGACCAACGACCCTGGGCCCACTGCGATCGAAGGTGCGCACCCCAGCCAAACAGGCTGGCGTCGGTCGTCAGCAGTGTTCGGCCCGGTTCTTTGAACAGTGACCCCTTGAGGGTGGCTGGTGACAGCCACCATCCGAGGGACCGCACTACCTGAGGGGGGAGTCGCACCCTTTGATTGGAGGCACTGAGGTTCTGCCTCTGAAAGGGTAGCAGGAACCGCTGTAGTTCCCTGGAGTGGAGTCTGGACCACGGGACAATGGCTATGGTCGATATCATTTGACCCAATAATTTGGAAAGGGTGAGCAAGGACGCCGTGCGTCCCCTGCGTACCTGGAGGACTGAGTTCCTCAGGTTGTCCCGGCGTTCCTGAGATAAGTACACCTTGCATTGCAAAGTGTCTATTATGGCTCCCAGATGTAACAGTTTTGTTGTGGGGATCATGTGACTCTTGAGGAAGTTTACCGAGAACCCATGGTCCTGGAGCACGCTCACTACCAATGCTAAATCCGTCTTGGCGGACTGGATGGAAGATGACTGGATCAGGATGTCGTCCAAGTAACATTGGACCCTGACCGGAACCATCCGTAAGTGAGCTGCCAGAACCGCTAGGATCTTGGTAAACACCCTGGGAGCCGATGAAAGGCCAAAAGGTAGGGCCCTGTATTGGTAATGGTGACCTTTGTAAGCAAACCTTAGAAACCGTCGGTGGGCGAGAGAGATGGGGATGTGAAGGTACGCTTCCGTGAGATCGATGGACGTCAGGAAGTCTCCTTTTCTTACGCTTCCCAAGATGGATCGGAGCGTCTGCATCTTGAACTTGCGGTAAACAAGATGGTAATTTAAACCCTTGAGATCCAAGATGGCCCTCCATCCCCCCGACGTCTTGGGAACGACAAAGAGGATGGAGTAAAATCCCCGACCTCTCTGGTCCACCGGAACCGGTTCTATGGCCTGTATGTCCAGAAGGTGTTGGACGGCGTCGCCCATCAACTTCCTCTTTATTCGATTTCGAGGGTAAGGGCAAGAGATAAAGCGATTCGGGGGATCGGAGATGAACTCCAGATAGAGGCCGTTGCGTATGGTGTTGAGCACCCATGAGTCCGTGCTGGTAGCCTCCCATTGGTGGGCAAAGAGAGATAGTCTGCCCCCTATGGGAATAACCGTCAGGGAGTCACTTGGAGCGCCGGAATGGACGGCCGCTCCCCCGAAAGGGCCGCTTACCCTGAAATAATTGCCTGGGTTTAGCCGTTTGTCCGTCGTATTGCCTGTCCTGCCTGTCCTGTCTGGCCGGAAAGGGGCGAAAAGGCTGGAAGGACTGGGTGTAAGTGTACCTGTTGTTAGGCCGAAAGGACTGTTTGCGGGGATAAAAGGTTTTACGTTTCTCCGACTTGTTCAGAATGTGGTTGAGGACCTTGCGCTTGTCTTTATTTTAAGTAAGGTACGGTTCTAAGGCCGCACCAAACAGTTTGCCTCCTTGGTATGGGGCCGATGACAGACGCCACTTTGATTTGACGTTGGCGCGCCAATGCTTCAGCCAAAGCATACGCCTCCCCGTGACGCTGGATGCCATAGCCTTGGAGGCAAACCTGGTGGCTTGGAGGGATGCATCTGATGCATATTCCATGGCCGCTATCATTTTACTTAGGTCCTGGTGAGAGCGGACATCATCAGCTGGGGTCCGGGCCTGAAGCTGTTTGAGCCAGCGATGGGCGGATCTATTAAAGAATGAAGCGGAGGAAGCCGCTCTAATCGCCCAGGCCGCCGCCTGATGGGTCTTACGATAAGCGAGTTCGGACTTGCGGTCCTCCGCTTTGAGGGCTTCCGATACATCTCCGGGTATGGCGGTGGAAGAGACCAGTGGACCGAAAGGTTCATCCACTGTCAGTACCTCTAATGCCTCTTCCAGCTCCTTAGCTACATGATAAAGTCTCTTGTCAGTAGCGCTAGGCAGAGGGAGGGAAGCTGGAGAAGCCCATTGCTTTTGTATAGCGGTCATGAACATGGGAGGGCATGGGATGCGATGCTGAGCCGCCACTGGCTCAGTAAAATTGGGATCTAACTCCGGATCCGGGGAAACAGTGGCCGCCATTGAAGGAGGCTCAGATCCCTGGTGGGCTGTGGCTGCGACCTTTCGGAGCAGAGTGACGAAAGCAGAAGGATTAAACATGCCACTGAATGTCGGAGCATCAGGGGAAGTCTCCTCCTCCTCAGACATTGGAAACCCTTGGTCAGTGCCCTGGTCGTGGAGGGATAGGCCCTCTGAGTACGAGGATTCCGATGGTGAGGAAGGTGCTTCATAAGTCTCCTCATCCTGACCCTGTATAGGGATGGGATTCACAATCGGAGGTCTAGGCGGAATAGCCCTGGCGTTCAAGGCGCTGTCAACTGCTTGCGCAATCAAGAAGGCCAGGCGCTCCTCCGAAGGCATGGGGACAGACTCCGTAGGTCGGAGGCCTGCAGCTGTAGGGGTGAAAGTTGCCTCTGGAGGACCGTAATGAGGCCGCGGAGCAGGAGGTACGGGTGAATGAGAGAGTTCTCCCGTAGTCCATCCCCTCGGGGAAAAGGCGGGAGGTCCCAAGGGTAGAGTGCATGTTAATCCCTCGGTTTGGGGGAGATCTAGTCTAGCTGCCTTTTGTGCTCTAGAAAACTCCTTTTCGAGGGCCTGATGTCTCCGGCTGGCTTGTTTGTCTGCCCTCTTGGAGGTCTTGTTCGTAGACCTGCCCTTGGTTTTTGAAGTAGGCATGTCAGGACCCTCCAGACTGGGTGGAGCGGCAGACAATAAGGTGGGTAGAGGAGGCGCAGCGGCTTCTGAAGAAGGATTGGTAGCCTCCATTCTCAGATAGCACAGGGACTCGAGTGGGACCCCCCGGTATCTAGAGAGTACAACCTCTGGGTGAGGACACACGCACTGTGGGTACCTATGGAACCCAGGTACTTTTAGGAACCCACTAAAAAATATTATTGGTTGGAAAAGGACAGGCACACTATCAGTATGTCTGGAATCCGGCCTAATTTGAGGAGGAAAAGGACAGATGCTCTGATGGAACACCTGGAATCCTCTTGGCCAAATGGCAAATAGCAGTCACGAAAGGAGTGACTTTGTTCCTTAAATAGCAAGCAAGCAGACTAGGAGACACGAGGATCTGAGGAGGAATTTTGTAGGGCTGCTCAGGATCCCTATCACAAGCTAGATCTAACTGCTAATAATGTGGGGTGAGATTCCAGACGGAGAAGGTCCTCAAAATGGCGGCCGGACCTCAGAATGGCGGCCTGTTGAATACTGGGCGTTTTGTGCAATGCCAAACCCCCCCCTTTTCCAAGTAAGTGACTATTTTAACCCTGAGAGTAAAATATAGTCGGGGAAAGCCCTTTATTTCTTCCGGAACTGATAGTTCTCCGGCTAATTTCCTCGACGCGCGGTTCAAAATGGCGGCCGCGCGTGATGGTAATGAGCCCTGAACGAGCTGCAAGGCTTCCCCGGCTATCTCCCTCGTCGCGCGGTCCAAAATGGCGTCCGCGCGCGCTGGAATCAACCTTTCACGGTGAGCTGCAATGCCTGAGGGAAGAAGTTCCGAAGAGCAAGGAACCCCCGCTGGCGCGCCTAATATGCAAATGGGGGACGAACGGCCGTTCGTCAGTCCCTTGAGCCAGCAGGTCTCCCTTGCCGCTCGCGCCCTTTCTCCGGCCGTTTGTCGGCGATTAGTGAAAGGGCTACCTTCCGAACTGTCTCTCGAACGGCAAAACGGTCCCGACGGTTTAAGGCGCGCGCGCGTCTCCTTAGTCGAGGTGCCGATTCGGAAGGCCCTGAGCTTGTAGCCGATCCCAAACGGGCCTGCAACGAGCCTCGCTTGCTGCAAGGCAAGTTTTTTCACTCCGTTCGTCACCGGGCCGCAGCCGCGAGCTCCGGTGAGAACGGATCCAAATAGATGTTGGGAGAGGAGAGGGGTGAGAAGGATCCCCTCCTTGGGAGAGGAGAGGGGTGAGAAGGATCCCCTTCTTGGGAAAGGAGAGGGGTGAGAAGGATCCCCTTCTATCGTGTCAATACTGGGAGGGGGGGAAAGGAGAAGGAGCCCCTTCTATCTGATCACGTTCCTACTCCCAATTGAAGGCTTGGAAAATTTTTTCTAACAGTTCCCCAATTTTCTCGAATTAAACTAAATAGCCAAAGAAGGTGGAGGATTCACCAATAGTCAAGACTATACCTGCCTAAGAGCCAGAGTTACACGTCCGTCCATGGGCAAGATCAAGTCAAGACTGGGATCTAGGGTCCAGGACGGGCGTGGCAACTTTGGCTGACTTGATCTGATTGGGCAGGAATACAGTCTACTACCCATGGGTGGATCCTCCATCTCCAGTGCTGGAGAAACAGTATCACTTATTCTCACAGACTTATTGCCAGGACAAGGGACGAACCTTTTAATTCACTAATGTACTGTGTATAACTGAAAGACTGGATTAGCTATATACATTCAAAAAGAAATTTAAAACTTAAATTCGGTATTCAAAAGAAGTGTTAACTAAATCAATATAACCCAGTGCAACATATCTTGAGACATTTATCAGTGAAACAAGGGCTGCTGAACCAGATCAATCATCCAAGCCTGGCACCTCAAATATTCTGTTCTTCAGATAAACCGTATTTAATACCTTACCTCTTGCTCTGCCTGTGCATTTTTATGATCCAATTCTAGAACTCGTTGGAAGCAGCGACTGGCAGCCATGGCATTCCCCAGAGATAGGTGGCACTTTCCCTCTCTTAGATGTCCCTGAGAAGATAGGAAAATTATGAAAGCGTGCCACTGTGGTGGAGAATTAGGAGAACTACACATATGAGTCACATACCCTCAAAAAGCTATCGTCCATTCTGACTGATTGCTGAGCATCTCCCAGGGCCTCCCGAAATTTGCCTAACATCATGAGAGTGGCAGCACGGTTTCCATAATAACTGGCATTGCTGGGACATGTATCTGGAGGACATGAAACAAGAAAATAGTGTTCATTTAGAAGCAGAAAAGAACTCACTTGCCATATATCAAATGTTTCTTTTTGAAGGCATTTTCAAAAAGATAAAGAGAAAGCTATGTGCTATTCTACAAGATTTTGAACTTGTTCTCTCCACAAAGTAGGTTTTACTTTTTATTTAATATTAATAATGCTTTTATTTTGATACACAGTACTAGATCCATACTGTATCTCTAGAACAGCCCTAAATCAGAGAATATAACATAGACTGAAATACTGATATACATGAAAAGCTTTACTCTGTATGCATTTATATGGTTTTCTGCATTAAAAATGCTGGATTTGACTGCTGTAAAGAATTATCCACCTGAGCCAGCTCATACATACCAGAATAGAGACATTTCCAATTGAATGAAATAAAGGCCTTCATGACCTACAATTGGGTGTGCCCAAAGGTCAGTTTTCAGACTTCCCATCCCTTTCCTTTTCATTCTCACCTATGGCTTTTGTATAGTAGTTGTATGCTTCATTGTAGTCCTTTTTGGCATAAAATGCATTTCCTTGCTCCTTGAAGGACTCTGCTTCTCTGAAAACCCAACAAAATATTATAATCTGAAATGCAGCAGCCTTCAATCCAAGCGAGACAACAGCAAAGAGATGATAGATCTATCTTTATCTTACTAGAAACCACACTACCTGAACCCTGAATAACAATTATGTTAAGTACTGGAAAATGGTTCATGCTACTGAATGCACCTTTCTTCATAAAACATTTATTCTCTCAATGATTACCACAATTAACCAATAAAATAGCCCTTAACTAATAATAAACATAATCCCATTTCTATTAAGAAATGCAGTTAACATTTCTTAGTTTGCAATAAACATCTGTAGCTTGGGTGTAGGATGAGGGTGAAGGTTCGTTCTCCGAGCTTGTAGGTGCAAAGGTTCCGACTAATAAAACCACATAAAGCAGAACTCCGAGGCTTGAAGTTTCCTCAAAGTACATTTATTGGATACATAATATCAGCATAGTCAAAAGTGAAACCAACTCTGAAATTTCCCTAGAGATTCGAAGTAACTAAAAGCAACACTCCCTTCCCCTCAATTATGCTAGAAATCACACTACCCAATGAAAGCAATTGGCAGGATTCTCAAATCGTCTTTACTCCTCCTTCCTGCACCTGTGGGAATGACCTTGGTTCCCCCGGGACTGCATAGTGTTTTGTCTAGCGACACGAATAGCAATTCTACTTCCCCCCATCTATGTGGCAGAATGAAAAAGATGGCTTCAGCCAGGTTCGTTTCAAAAGTTGAAGGTCTGACCCCCCCGAAAGGAAAAGGAGTTCCTGCAAAATAATAAGATAAGTACACATTAATGTGATGCTAATCTTTTGATGGTTCCCTAGACTTTTGGAGATGTTTGTCATGAAATTTATTTATTAATCTTTCTGCCTTTATATTCCTATTCTTTACCCAGGTAGCTTCTGACAAAGGGTAGCCTTTCCATTGAACTAGATACTGTAATTTCCCCTTGTACAATCTAGAGTCAAGAATCTGTTTTATTTCATAATGGGTATCACCATTCACTATGTTGGTCTCTGGAGTGGTTCAAGGTGTTGGCCTCAAGGTTGACTCTGTAACTGGTTTCAACAAACTGCAATGGAAAACTGGATGTATTTTCCCCAATAGTTGTGGGAGCTTTAACTTAACCATGACAAGGTTAATAATCTTTACAATGGGAAAAGGACCAATGAATTTGGGTTCCAGCTTCTTACAAGGCAATTTTAATCTTAAGTATTTGGTCGAGAGGTAGACCATCTCTCCTATATGAAATGGCCTCTCGGGAGATCGCCTCTTATCTGCCTGCTGCTTATAAATCTTTGCTGCTTTTTCCAAGGCTTGTTTAACATTTGCCCAAGTGCTCTGCAGTGTGTTTACTCATTCGGTTAGTGTCAGTAAGGAGGGGGGGCTTCTGAGGGTATTTTGGCATGGGTACAAATTCCCTGCTTGTTGATACTTTAAAGGGAGTAAGACCGGTACTGCTATGCACAGTATTGTTGTAATGCCACTTCAGCAAAAGGCAGAAGGTCTGCCCAGTTAGTTTGCTGATAGTTAACATAGCATCTCAAGTATTGCTCCACCATTGATCGCTTGTTCAGCAGCTCCATTCGTAGTCGGATGAAAAGCCGAGCTGACCCCGAGTGAATCCAATCAGCTTCACAAACTCCCGCCAGAACTTTGCAGTGAACTGGATCACCCCAATCTGATATGACTCTTCTCAGAGCTCTGTGGAGCTGATAGATATGCTTCAAAAACAGTTTTGCTAGTTTCTGAACGGAGGGGCGAACAGGATAGGTCAGGCTATAAAGTGCTTTTAAAAAAGGTCGATGACAGTCCAAATCATACAGTTCCCGCTATTTTCAGGAAGTTCAATGATAAAATCCATTGCGATTTCTTCCCAGGGCTGGGATGGTTCCGCTATGTATTGTAACAGTCCAGGAGGTTTACCGGGTCCTTCCTCCACCTATGGGAATGACCTTGGTTCCACGGGACTGCTCGGTGTTTGTCTAGTGACACGAATAGCAATACTACTTCCCATCTCCGCACATCTATGTGGCAACTCAGAATGAAAAAAACGCCTCCAACCAGGTTCGTTTCAGAAGTTGATAGTGGGTTGGTTTCCGGACATTTCGTTAGCAGGCTAGGTAACATCTTTAGTGGAGTTTAGGGGATGTCTGTGTCAATACTCTTCTGTTTATAAGGACTTCATGTATGGGTGTGTCAAGTGAGGATCTTGTGATGGGTCAGGTGTGAGTCATCAGTGGGAGGTTTGTGATGGGTCTTGTGATGGGAGGGGGCTTGCGTGGCTTGGTTGAGGGTCGGTACTGTCTCTGGTTGGCTGATTGATTTGGATTCTGAGGGATTCGTAGGCTCATTGTAGATCAATATATCTGTTGATGAAATTGTTTGTGGAGTGACAGGCTTCGATGAACTCATGAGTGTGGCGGCAGGTAGCATGGCCGATGGTTTTAATGTTGCTCCAATCAAACTGGTGATGTTTGGTGTCGGTGTAGGTAGAGATTAAGGATTTGGGATCATGGCGTTTGATTGCCAGCCAGTGTCCCTGGATCCTGGTTTTTAATGGATGTGATGTTTGTCCCACGTAGAATTGGTTGCAATTGTTACAATTGATTTTGTAGATTACATTATTTCTTTCATTCTTCTGTGTCTTGTCTTTGGTCCTGGATAATTCCTGGCGGACAGTTACCAGTACTTACCATCTGTAATTCTGATAATCATTTATACTGAAATTAAATAAATTACATCAAAAATGGATTCCAAAATCAGACATGGAGAAATTGCATTTGCTTGCAATATAGTTCTAGATATGTTTTTAAGCAATTACACTTTAATTAATAAATTTAGATCAATCTTAATGCACTTTTTTGGACTAGTGATTAAGACATCAGTCTAGAAACCAGGAGACTGTTGAGTTTTAGTCTTGCCTCAGACATGAAAGTGAGCTGAGTGACTTTGAGCCAGTCAATCTCTTTCAACCTACCACCTCACAGGATTGCTGTTGTGGGGAAAATAGGAGGAGGAAGGAGTATTAGGTATGTTTGCTATCTTGAGTTAATGATAAAAAATAATAAAAATGGAATAAAAAGAAAAAAGAAAAACAATAAAAGTGAAATGTGTAAATATAGGTAAATAATCCCAGAAGCAGCAGTGGCAAACCATTTCTGTTGTTGTCAAGAAAATGCTTTAATGTATCTTTTAAAAATGCTATGGAATTCTGGAAATTGCATAAATAAGAGCTTTGAGGCTTGTCACTTATTTGCATGTGCATGATTCTAAGTGAAGTTTGCATTCAGTTGAATGATCGAAGACAACAGCTTGTTTCTACTCTAATGGCTGGTTAGGGTCTGCCAAATTCATACAGGATATTATCAAACTATGTCAGAATGGGAATATAGCACTTTGGCAAGCAGGCTCTTTACAGAGGAATGTACTACTAGACCTTTTGAGCAAGCTGGGAATTCAACTCCCAAACTAGCTGTTGCAACAGCCAACCATAAGAAACAAAAAGCACCCTTGAATCCAAGCTAATGGCTCTAAATTGGTTTCTTCAGTGGAATCCCATCCCCCCTAGTACTCCTGGAAACAGCTAAGTAAAGCTGTTTGGCCTGGACAATACAAGCCATTTAGGGAGAAAAAAATCTCAAGAGAGAAAAAGAACAATGGAGGGTTGTATTGGTATGTGTTAACATGGTTTAACCTCATTTTGACCTCAACCCACTGGCCACCCTCTCTAGACTCCTACCCTAAGGCAGTTCCCATTAGAATGGAGCAGTTTAGTAGATTAGGTTGTAAATACAATCAATTAATCCAAAAATATTTCATCACAAACAGGATGATGGAGATCAAGACTAAAATACATACTGTTCACATTCAATGTAGACAATCGTGTTTAATTCAAGAAAGTTACAGTGCCCTTGATTTGACCTAGCCTACAAAAATTTTAAGGATTAAGAGAGGGATGGCACATGTAATCCAATAGGTATAATAAGATCCACGTTCCTATTCCCACTATTTTTAACTGTGAATATATAATTTGAAAATCACCAGGGGTGTGTGGGGGGGGGGGGGGTATTGCCAAGAAGAGATTAGAGATATCTATATTTAAGGCTCACAATTCTCCACAGCAAGCTAAGGACAATCAGAATGTAGTGAAACTATTATTGCATAACAACAGGATATGAAATCATGGCTTGATTTTAGACTTTTTAAATGTAAACAAGTTATAACTCCCCAAGGATGTATCAGAGAGAAATGGTCCTGTTAAATCTGAAATGAAAAGTTCTTATTTTTTTATTTTGGAAAACAACAAAATAGAAAAAAGCCAATGCTCACAAGGATTTGATACTCAAGGTATATTTATGCTCCTTGTTAAGCTATAAAGTAAAATAATAATAAAGTAAAATGATAGTACAAAATACAACTAATGCAATGCCATTTAACATTTTTTTAAAACAGCATCATTATCTGTTTATAACAACATTTGCATTGTACCAGTGTGCTACAGTAATTATGAAGACAAAGAAACAAATAACATCAGAACTTGGAATTGTATTAGAATATCTATCACAGGGGTGGCGAACTTATGGCACGCGTGCCAGAGGCGGCACTCAGAGCCCTCTCTGTGGGCACTCTCGCCATGCCCCAGAGATGGCAACCATCCCTCTTCAACCAGCCGCCCGCTAACTCGCCGAGGTCCCACATGGCTGGATGCATCCCAGCACCCATGCGCTCGCTGGTCTCTGTGTGCAGGGCTGATGGTGTCAGGCTGCAGCCACCCCGGTCCCTGCCTCACCTTGCCCTGTGACAATAGCACCCCCGCCCTGCCTCGCCTCCCCCCCACAGGACGAGCCTCCTGCCCACTGCCCCACCTGCCAGAGACCCCCTGGATCTCCCCCAACTCTGCCCGGCCCCCACAGGCGTCCCTCCCCACGAGCAACATTGAGGTGATCACGCCCACCTTGGCCACACCTACCCAATCTGCCATGACTACCACATCCACAC